CTGCAGACAGCCCTTGTCTAGAGGGGGCCCTCCCTTTCTCGCTGAAGTGGGCTGGTGGGCTGGTGGGGCGCTGCTGAGAAGACACCCCTGCCAGGGGCCAGCCTCAGGATCTCTGGGGGGCAGCCTTGGCTCTGGGGCTGGGTCACCCCTCACAGCCCCAGAAGAGAAGGGGGGACCCTTTTGTCTCAGGGAAGAGTAAGAAGTGGCACTGCAGCCAGTATGGGGGATGCTCAGACATCTGGGTCTCCTGGGGGGGTGAGCAGAGAAGAAAGGCATGTCATGAGGAGACAGGCTCCACAACTGACGTAGAACGCCCCTCCTCCGGCCTCGGTGGGAGCATGACATGTGTAGGCTGGTTGCTAGGCCCTCTTACCTCGGTGAGTACAGAGGGCATCGGGCTGGGAGGAGAATCGGGGCACTCAGAAAGGATATTGGGCGGGCGGCACCTTGTCTCTCTGGGGGATTTCTGTGCCCACTGAGGTAGGAGGCCCCATGCAGCTGTAGCCTGAGAGGCTGGCCTCGGGGCCTTTGCATTTTAACGATGCCCACACTGCTGTCCCCTCACCTCCCCTCAGGGCTGGACCCTCTGTGAATAGGTGTCGATGTTGTTTTGGTTTTGCATGTGCTCCTACTAAGACACCACAACTGACACACACAAGCACAAGAGGGCTGCAGGGGCTCCGGGCTGAGGTCTGCACCCAGGGTTGGGGGAATGGGTCCCCAGGCAGGGTTCTCCTTGGCCCTTCTGGGATGGTGACACAGACCTCATGGCACAGCAGTGGCCAACCTGGCTCCCAAGAGGGAGATGAGCACAGAATGAGGGGCAGGAGCTGCAGGTGGAGACCCTGCCTTCCCTCCTGGCCAACACAGCTTCTCCAGGTTCTGAGTTCCGATTCCCTCCCAGCCCTGTGGGTCCTGAGGCCGAGTCTCCCCCAGTGGGGCCCTGCTCCTTTGGGACCCTCAGGTGGCCTAACCCTCTGCTTGGAGCTCTGGAAAGGGAGGGCTACCCCTCCCCAACTCCCACAGGCCCCACCGGTCAGCCCCTGACCGTGCCGTCTGCCTCCCTCGCATGCCCAGGCCCAGGCGGCCGCACCAAGGACTGGTCCAGGTGTTGTGTCCCCTTGTGGCCACTCTGCTGCGTCCCTCCCTGGGGAGGCCCATGTGGCAGGCTGGGGGGACTGAAACAAGGTGGGTGAAGGTTTGCACGCTGTCTTGGATAGGACAGAGGGAGGTCCACTGGGACGAAAAATGAAATGTTTAAATTTGCATCATGGCCAAGCTGGTTTATTAGAGGAAAACAAAGCAGACTTGACGTTTGCTGGGACGGTGTACAAGGGGCAACTCTGGGAGGCATTGGTAGGAGGTGAAGCAGATTCTGTGTGAACGGCCAGGTCCCTGTCTCTCCTCCAGGTTGCGATGCTCCTCCAGCAGGTGCTGGGCCTCCTGTAGCTTGTGGGCTCCCCACAGAGATCAGGAGGGGTCCCATGTCACCCGTTGCTCTGTGAGGACAGGGGGCTCAGGCTGGTGTGGATCCCGGGGCAGGTCCAGCACTCGGGGCTGGAGACCCCGGGCCGGCACCACTGTGGCCTGGCTTCAGAGTTCCCCTCCTACCTCACCAGAATCAGCCCCCAGAGAGGCCGTGGAGTCTTGGGGAAATCCCAGTGACCCAGAGCCAGCCTGGGCCCACAGGAGCTGCCCCTCTGTTCCGGCTGCAGATGTCATGGTGTCCCGGTCACTGTGCATGGGGGGGCGGAGACCCACTTCTGGGGCCTTGGCCAGCTGCTCTGGTCCTTGCCAATCTGCGGACGGATGGTGAGGCTGCCTCCTCTCTTTGTCTCATGGGTCCTTCACTGGCTGTCCCTGGGCGTGGGTGTCCTAGGAGGCTCAGACAGAGGAAGATGTGTTGGGCAGGTGGGAGGACAGGCTCTGACTGCTGGAATAGCTGGACAGATCAAGTTGGGAAAAGAAGTCCCTCACTCACAACTCGAGAGCTCCCCCACCCCCCCACTGGCTTCTTGGCCAAACTCACCCCTTGTGGCTGCCAGTAGGAGGGACACTGAGGGAATGTCAGCCGGGAGGTCAGTGGTCTGGGTCCTTCCCCAGCTCTCCCATGCTTTTAACAGCAAAGTGCCCGTGGGGTGCCCCGAGGAGACTTGGAGCATTTAAGGAAGCCCAGGGCTTCTTCTACGGGAACACCCCAGAAATCTAATCAGAAATACAGTCTGCTTTGATAACTCACAAATCTGTGTTTGCACCTTCCCCTGTTTTTATTACCTGTTCCTCCACTAGAGTCTTGAACCATGTTCACGGATCCTCGATAAATAATTGTCATACTTTGGATTCTTTGAAAAAACAGACTCAGAGACAGAGTTTAGGGAACACTGGGAGGGGTAGAAGGAGAAAGATTGGGCAGAGGCAAAGTTGAACTTTGACCCAGACCCCAAACAGCCTCAGTCCACTGCACGGGAGCTGAGGTGCCAGCCCGTCTCTTCAGAGGTGTCTCAGTTGGAAGGATTTGGCCAAGCCTTTCTAAAGACGCCTGTGTCTCATATCTGCCTCAACCAGCCTGCAGAGCCACCTTCCATGTCTCCAAACTCACCCCTTCTGCCATTTCTTCACACCGTGAGGGTGTCTTCAGGGTGGTGGTAACTGTGTGTGTGTGTGTGTGTGTGTGTTGGGGCTGAGAGTGCATGTACAAGCGTGGGACTTGTGTGAAGCCAGGGAATGGGGAGGGTTGTGCTTGTATGTTGTGGTGCAGCATGTTGGGGGTGTGTAGCTGGGGTGTTACATGAGGAAGACGCAGACTATGACCTGCTGAACGAGGCACAAGCCACCCACAGGGACCAGCAGGCGGCTTCCTCAGCATCCGAGCCCCCACTCGAAGGACGTGAAAACCCTAGAGTCCCTTTGATCGGAGGCGCAGCTTCAGTACACGCACACAAAGGTGTAACGTCACAGGTTTATTGCTCATGGAGCCCAGCAGTGGGGAAGGGCAGTCCTCTGCCTCGTATCACTGGTGAGCAGTAGGCAGAGGCTGGGGTGGTGTCACTGACTTCACAGCCTCGACTCTTCAAGTGCCTACCTTCAAGGTGCCCTGGGAAGAGCAACACTGGAACTTGGGCCAGCAGCCTAAGCTCGGGTCTGATCTAAATGTCCAGACTCGGGGTGAGCAGGCTCCCTGCCTTATAAGCCTGGGCAGCCCCTCGGGATGGCCATTTGCTCCCACAAAGGGCAGCTCCGCATACATACGTGTGCTCATGAGGTATGGGCTGTCTGTGCTGGGGTGGTGGGCAGCTCCTGGAAGGCTCAAGGTGTTTGTAGTAAGTTTCCTGGGTCTGCTTTGTGTACATAGTACAGGTTGAGTTGTGGCATGTGTGAACTCAGAGTGTTTAGTAACCTGATGTGTGCATTGGAGGATCGGGGCAGGTCATATACGCCTGTGTCCATGTGCATCTGGACAGCAGGGCTGGGGGTATATTTCTTTGTACAGGTATATTTATTTCTGTACCTATGTAGGTGGTCTGAGAGTGTGTTGGAGGGATTGTGTGTATTTTGAGAGGTTTGAGGGGTTGACCCTATACACTCAGGTCCAAGGGGATTTCATGAGTACTTACTCTCTCAGGATTATCAGGGGCCTTGGAGGAGTGGGGGCGTGTGTGTGTGTGTGTGTGTGTGTGTGTGTGTGGTGTGTGCACGCGCGCGTGCTAGAGAGGGGTGTGTGTGTGTGTGTGTGTGTGTGTGTTTTGCATGTGGAAGGAGGCTGGGAGAAGCAATACAGTTCAGGACGTGGTGGGTCATGCTACCAAGGGATGTGCACGTTCCGGGGGTTCACTGGGGTGTGGGATAGTTTGGGGTCACACTCAGGGTGCTCAGGGCCTGTGTAGGTATGACCTGGGGGAGGTGAGGGGCATGAATGCCCTCATCATGGTGTGGGTGTGAACTGGTGTGTGGGGCTGGGCCTGCATTTTGAGGCTGTTGTGAGTAAGTGTGCATCTGAGAAGAGGCAGGGTTGTGCATTTTTGTGTTCTGTGTTCAGGCTGTAGGGGCTGTGTGTGTGCTCATGGTCTCAGTGAGAATGTAGGGAGTGCAGTTTTGGTGTGGAGGAATTTGGGAAGAGTGGGGACAACAGCGTTTGGGTGTTGCGAGTTGCATGTATGTAACTGTGGGACGTGGACAAGCACTGTTTATAGATTTTCAAGGGATATGGGTCTGTCTGTACTGGGTGTGAGGTCATGTGCGTTTGAGGGAGTGTTAGGAGAAGGTGGGAAGCCCTGCATGTCTGTCGGATGGTATGTATGTGTCTGTTTCAGCCTCTGACACACTGTCTGGAGTGGATATCATAGCTCTGGGGGACCGTATGTGCTGTGTTTGGGACTGGGGGTGTGGGTCTGATATTAAGAAGTAAGAGTTTGGTGTGAATACACTGAGTGATTCTTACAGGGATTGAAGGCCTCACTGGGAGGAGATGCAGGTTTGGGTGATTTCTGGGGGACCAGAGGATGTGTGTGAAAGAGTCTGATTACTGAGGGTGGTTAGAAGTGTTTTGTATTGAAGACTAGCTGTGATATTACTGGAGTCTGGGGTGCATGTCTCTTTGTGGCACAAGGGTGCTGGGGTGCACAGCCAGGCACCTGGTAGGTGGGGGGTTCATGTGTGAGGATGTTCAGAGCTCCAGGGCACTGGGTGATGTTGGTGTAGGTCACTGTGGCTGGGTGGAGCGTGTGTCGGGCTGGGAGGGGTATTACTGGAGACTGTGAGGCTCCCCTATTGGGTGACCCCTGTTCTGTCTGACCTGTGACTCGAACTCCTGTGGTCTCCTCAGGGCTGCCACTCCCCTGGGTGACCAGTGATCTCACCCAGGCCTCCAGAGGTTGAGTGGGCCTGGCTTCCAGGATTCAGGGCTGTAAAGGTCAGAAAAATGACCCAAAGAGAGTGATGGCTTCTCATCTTCTGACCTCTGATAATACAAGAATCACTTCTTCTGCAATCTAACACACTGATTTCATTTCCCAAATGCATCACTTTATTTTCCTCATAAGGCATCTGTACGTTATAAACCTTAAGCACGTGACAGTCACATGATTTCTCCAGCAAGCCCTAGGATTTCCGTGAGGTTACAGCTGGAGTGGTATACATCCCAAGGGGTCAAATATTAAAGCTTTCTCCACAGCCACACGTTCCTTTGATGTTTGGATTATTGAAAACAAACTCACTGGATAATTTATCTTCAACATAGTCCATTTCTGTTCCTAAAAGTGTTAGCTGTGCTTTCTTTTCGATGAACACTCTGACTCCTTGGGGAGAAGAAAACATGTGTCATATGAAGCCTGCACATCTATGGAACCCGCTGATCAAAGCACAAGTGAGCTCTCAAAGGGGACCACTAACGAACATCAGACCAGATGCTTGGGAATCTAGCTTATTATTTCCTTTAAGGGATTTAGCACTCAGTTTCCTGTCTGTGCTGTCTTTCCCACACAATAATAGATATCAAAAACAACTATATTAGGCTAGATGGTTATAGATAAGCAAATCTGATGACAAGTGTAGGCAGAACTAGATATTTGCTTTTTATTATACTTTACCCATTTTTCCAATTTGCATCATGTAGAAAATGTGTATGTTCCCAGTGAGACTCTTACAAAGACTGAGTGAATAAAACTTATGAGAACTCTGCAATGCAATCTGTACACAAACACTGGCAAGCCTAGACATACACACAGGGTGTGATACGGTTGGCTAGCTTGGTAAGACCAGCCAGTACAATGCAGTTCTGTCCTCCTTATGGAAAACTGGGAAACTGGTAAAATGCTAACCCCCCAGTAATTACACTGGCAGAGATTTGCATCTTTGTAAATAGTCAGTTTAAGAGTTTTCTTTCTTGTAAGTAATTCATTGAGTAATTGCTTAAATATAAACTACACATAATCATGAGATCTCTATAAAGATGAAAAACTTTAAATAGTTTTAAAATTTAAGACATTTTATATATTGACTTAAAAAACAATGTATTAACAGATGCATTTATTGGTGTAACTTCAGTGTAATAAAATGAGCCCACAGTAGGAAGCTGTGAAAGCTACCTAGCAGCACACCTCTGACACACAAAGCCACCACTGCAGAACCCATGTATACTGAAGATCCCCCAGAGTTGTAACATTACTTATTTTGTTTTAAATAATTACTTTCATCAGATTACTGGGTAGGGGCAGGGAGTAGGGGCAAAATATAACTAAAGCACATGCTTTAATTAATAAAGATGCTTCACATAAAAATGGCTGACTCACTATGACATTTTATCATCTTAAAACCTTTCAGTACACAATGATTGTCTTTTGTAATTGAGACAGAAAATATCAAGTTTTCCCAATACTCTTTAGTTACTAAAAGCACAACCTCTAGAGTGGTTCAACTCTAGAGTGCCTAATTGGGTTCAATTTTTCACTAGGCCACTTACCAGCTGTGTGACCTTAGGCAAACTATTTAACCTCTCTGTGCCTCAGTTTCTTCATCTGCACAATGGAGACAATATGGTACCCTTCTCACTGGGTTGCTGTGTATAAATCAGTTAATATGTGAAAGTCTGTCAAACCATGCCTACGTAGTGAGCACTGTATACACAATTCCTACTATTATCATTACTCTTTGTGCTGTACAAGGCTAAAAATTTTAGGTGAAACAAAATGCCCAGAAAAAGGTTACTCAAAACTCACCATCCTGAACAACTTCTTCATCAGAATCTCCTTTTGTCTTTGTATATTCCAGAGTGTAAGAAAGGCCATTACAACCCCTGGTTCGGACACCTACTTTCACACCCACCTGAAAAAAAGCATTGTACATATAAACTTAAAATAGTACAGTTTAAACAATTATATTAATAAAACCCTGATATTTGATATTATTCATTCCTTCATAAGCTAAAAGATAAGTGTTAAATTTTTGGCTATAAATAACATGTCCCTGTAAGGAAGGAGCATGGGGATCAAGCATTTAAAAAATTTAACATTGTACAAATATCATTACAACACTACCATCCAAAAATAATAAAAATCAATTATATACAAAGAAAGCAATCTGGAGGGGAAAACTCAAGTCATAGCTACTACTACCCTAAAAGAACAGCTTGTACATTTTTTCCTATTTTCTTCCAGTCCTTGTCGTGTATATAATCTAAACAGTTCTTTTACTACAGACATTAAATTATTCTCTGCCTGTTCTTGTCATTTAAGACATCATTTTCTCATGTAATTAGCATTCCCAATTATCATTTGCAAGTAATGCCTAAATATTTCACTATAGTAATGCATGTTTATTACTTAACTCATATATATTAGTCATTTAGGCTGGGAATAATATTTTTTTATTAAAGTATCACTGATACACAATCTTGTGAAGGTTTCACATGAACAGCACTGTGGTTTCAACATTCACCCATATTATCAAGTCCTCCCCACACCCCATTGCAGTCACTGTCCATCAGCCTAGTAAGATGCTACAGAGTCACTACTTGTCTTCTCCATGCTGTATGCTTTCCTGGGAATAACATAATTTTAAGGGAAGAGTTTTAACTCCAAAAATGAATAATCTTTTTATTTTTTAAGGAAAAAGTACCTGATGGCAGAGATGACTACCTAAAAAAAAACCCACTTTTTAAAAATCATCTGTCCCACCTCACTGTGTGGGATGTTCTTGGGAAGCTTCCTGAGGGCCTGGTTTACCAAGTGTCACAGGTCACCGCCTGGGGGTCATGCTGTCTCTACACAGGGCTGTCATTCTGGGCAGACCTTGTAGCATTCTCAAATACCACCAATCAAAGACTGCAGCCAATATAGACATATGAAGTTTCAAAAGTGACCAAATGGCACTTCTAAAATACCAAAGTCCATCTTAACATAATTTTCTAACAGTGTCTACCAAATTTCTATTCTTGGATCCTATCTGCTTTTTCATTCGAGTATATAGTAAAAGTATTATTATAAAAGGCATTCCTGTGCCAAGCAGATCCTGGTTCTCTTAAGAGCAGCCATGTGTGCTTGCTTCTGGAAAGCAATCACGAAGTGGGAAGATATTTGAGGAAGGGTGTGTTAAAAGTTAAGCTGCCTAGGAGTTTTGCTGAGCTGAATAGTCTCTTTTGTTCTTAAACACAAGGAGACAAAACTATGATTTTGTTCTCCTTCAGAGTGACAGCCTGGAGAGCCTGTGAGGGAGTTTCACATATTTGGCATGATAAACTGCTTGGCTGAAACCCTAGAGTGCATGTCATAAATATTTGTTTAACTTAATTTTTATCTTTGTAAACAGGAAGACTCAAGCATGCAGAACATCCAACTATTAGGAATGGATATACTTAAAGAGTATGTGACAATACAGCTTTAGGTAACTGGAGTGTGCAAGAGAGATTGTGCCATAAATTACACCTGATGAAGTGTTTGCTCCATCTTTTTTATGTCAATACAAACATTCCTCATCTACAAAGCTAAATTTTTGTTTCATTTGGTCAATTTACATTCTTGTCATTAGTCTATCCAAATGGAGTTGGAATACTTATATACTTTAGCATTTAGTAATCCTTATGATGTGCTAGAACTACATTATATTGTAGTTTAGGTATACAATGGAACTTGAAAACCACTCTGGAGTCTATTACTGAATACAAATAGTCTATTACTTGGATGCCATTTACAGTATTCCACACGCAACTACCAATCCACTAAGACTGAGGTGATGCACACTGCTTACTCAACAGTTCCACCTCTAGGAATAGAGCCTAGACAGGTGCACTGAGCTACGTTTTAGACTTGCCTTCAGAACAATGGGCCTGGACCACTATACCACAGACACCAATATTTGCTGAATGTTGTTTGTGGCAGTACTGAATGAAAACAATGCTCAAGGCCTTTAATATGGGGGACTGGTTAGATGAATCAGACCTGTTCAGTGGAATATGCTATTATATGCAATCATGAAAGAGAATGAGGCAGATCTTTCTGCAATAACAGGGAAAGAGCTTCAAGCTTTATTATGAGGGGCGAAGAGCAGACTGTAACCACAGGAGGTATACAACATTGTCTAAGTAGGAAAAGAGATACACACACAAATGTAACAAGCATAGTCTGAGTCAGTGGTCCCCCCTGAAGAATTACTGGTTGTCACAATCCAGGAGTGGGGAGGTGCCACTGGCATCTATTGTGCAGAAGCCAAGAGATTCCATGAAACGTCCTGCAATCCACACCCAATAAAGAAGAACCTGGCTCAAAACATCAACAGAGCTGAGGCTGATAAACCCTGGTGTAGGTAAATAAAATGGAGAGATCATCTTTGGAACAACATCAAGAGGTTGCCTCTTAGAAGGAAGAATGACAATGAAGAGTCAGGGAATGACTTCTTTTTCACTGAATACCATTACACTTTTTGAATTTTTAAAGATCATGAGCATATTTTACATTTTTTAAGTAAAAATCCCTTATCAATGAAAGCATACTGTTTAATACAAGAGAAGTTCATTGTGAAAATGTAACTTTAATTTTTTACTACGTATGTGACTGGTTTTACTTACATGTTCAGGCTTATCTTTAATAAGTTGTTTTATCTTGTTTACTGCTGAAGGTGTCTGAAAGAACAAAATGTTAAGTTTTTAGTTACCAAATTTGTATTCTTCAAAGCTTTCTATTTCCCAGCCTTGAAGATGAATATTCAAGTCTATCTTTAGCCAATTCATGTGACAAATTGTTTCATTCTTGCCAGAATACCTTGTGGATTTTATACACAAACTAATGAAACTCTACTCAATTTAAAGCATTCTATTTTTATTTTTCAAATATCTTCTAGAAACATCCTTTTAATCTTGCTCCCCACAGTCTAGGTCAGCTCCCCTCATAATCTCTATGGTACCACCTACAAACATCACAGATTTAATTCTTTGTGCTCCCACTGCTTGCCCAGCAATAAGCTCAATGCCCAAAACATAAAAGGTGCTGAACAGCCAGTGAATGAATCAAGTACATGACTGGGAAAGCCAACCTTCTGGTGTTTTTTCTGTTATTAATTCCACTGCTTTTTATTAAACCCCAAATCTATTTCAAAATCCATCAAAATGCATACCTAGAGGAAGGAGTGTTACCAGAATCAGCCCAGAGTGTGCTTCTCATACCAGTCCCACCCAGTGTTTAGATTCTAAATGTGACTTGAATCAACATCTTGGGATATTTAGATAAATAGAACTAAGCTAGTCAACTACAGAAACAACAATGGGGGGAGGTTTTCCAGGAGGAGAGCTATTTAACCTAGACCATTAGTCCTCAAGATAAGAAAAACATCACAATGCACTGTTTGGTATCAGTCAGGATCACCAACCCCACTTTTCTGAGGAGGACACTGTCAGGGAGAGGCCGTTTCAGGGCATTCCTGGTCTACCCAGCTATGTCTCAACCCATTACTTGGCTTAAATGGGGATAAGAATCCCTCCTCCTCCTCAGGATTTCTGTGAGGATTAAATAAACAAATTCATGAAGAGTATTTAGAAAAGTGTCAGGCACTAAGAGCTCAGTCTAAACCAGCTATCATTATAATGATGAGAGTATACCATAACGAAGATGGCATGTCCTTCCTACTTTCTGTTTTATTAGCTCCTTAGCTGGCAATTCAGTGCTAGTCCTCCAGTTTTTTGTATTGGCATTTTACTGGTTTGTGAAATCCCAGAGTGGACATTATGACCTATGACTTAAATAGTAACTGTGGCCAGAACTCAAGCCTGTGCTGAGGGAGTAGGTTCAAGGCATGGACCCTGCTGAGTGTGCTCCTGTGGTGGCTTGGCCAGAGGAGAGCAGGATGTTGAAGCAGAGTCTGGGCCCAATTTTGAAGGGTCATGAAACCAATTTAGAAGGCTGAGACCAGCATTTTTTTTTAAAACAAAATAGGAGAAAACAATGCATTACAACTTAATAAATAAAACATGAATGCTTAGTGAAACTTTGATTTTAATTATCAATATACAGTGGGTGTGTACATATAGATATTTATTGTATGTCACTATTAAAAAAAAAGTTAAAAAAAAATCACTACCAATAGATGGTCTACAAAGGCTTTTTCCCACGCTTCTATCAGAACAAGGGCCAAGCAGCAGCACAACAGAGGGAAGAGACTATTCAGGGGGAGGAGGACGGAAATGCTCAAGAGCAGAATTATGGCTTTTTTTTTTTGAGATCACAACATATCGGCCTCATTTAGTTACAGAAATATTTCTAAAAAATTTCTTTTTGTTTTTCATTTGCTCATTTGCCTCCTAAATGACTACCAGTAAAACCAGCTTCCAAAATTTTCATGGTCATTTTTCCCACATGAATCCCTAAGAAATTAATCTAATTACTGACGGCCATAGGAAAATATTTGTTCAAAGTACAACCCACAACAAAGCCTTCGATGCTGGTGGGTCAAACGTATGGAGGGTTCACCACTTCATGACCTAAACAAAGCCTATGGGGTGAGCGCACTACACTGTCAAGCCCCATGTATTTTTACCTTCAAGTGATTTTCTAAATTATTTAATTTGGTTTTACAAAGTAATATATTTTCTTCTTTTTTCAACTCTAGTAGAAAACACTTAAACACAGTAAATGAAGGTAATTCATGACGAGTGGTCCACTTGTCACGAAGCAGCTGATGTTCATGTCTTAATTACACTGTTTAGGGAAAAGTAACCCGTGCCTGGGAGCTGTTCTAGGAACCAAAGCGGGTCTTAATTTTCCTGTGTCAGGTAAAAGCCAAAAATACTCCACCGGGAAGAGTGTTAATCATGGAAACCCAGCCTAGTACTTATTTAAGGGGAAAGATATGGCTCCTGTAATTTTCCAAATGATGGATTCAATTTTCAGAACAGGTCAGAATGACTAAACAGGGAACATTTGAGACTTAAAAAAAATTCCAGCTATAGGAAGTATCTGTATCACAGTACCAGACAGAAGCTAAGGCCCTACTTTGCTCTAACGCTATTTATGTACTTGGCAATTTTGTACTTAACATTAATGTGGGAAACGGTATAAAAACTTCAACCAAACAACACACTGTAGGCCTACCAGCCGTCCAACTGCAATGCAGTCTCCCAAACAACTGAGAAACCCAAACCTTTCCAAGAAATTTATGTATAATTAATGACTCTAATTCATCTGAGATTTGGTTAGTGAATTAAAATTTAAGAGATATTTGAACCTCAACATAACATGGTTTTTAATCTTACTCATACATATCACAGAACAAGACATTCTTTAAAGTGAAAGAGTATTTTTGAGTGAAATATTTTGGCTCATTAAAAAAAGATTTCTAGTCTGTTTTTGTTGTTAAAATTAAGGGACAAGGCACTGTAGATGAATGCATTTTACGACTACTTTGTAGCAATACCCTTCTGCTTTACCCAAGGCTATAGGATTTCTATTCCTTGTGGCAGAAACTTCTCATCCTCAGTACTGTATTTCCTTAAGGAATCCCCCCCAGCAACTTAAACTTTTTTGCTGCTTAGGAACACAAAATTAACACTCAATGTTAACTCCATAATTATGTGCATGAACATGGACAACCTATTTTAATCTCTTCATAAATCTGGTAGGTAAATAGCAACCACTGAACAAGTTTCAGTATGTTCTGTTTAAGTCATTCTTTAACAGCTATGACTGGCATTATGGTATTGTTTCCCTTTTGTCTTTTCCTATTTGCATGCACATGTGTATTCATACAGATACGTATCTCTAATTGTGGCATATATACACAATTTTGTAGCCTATATTTTAAAAACAACATGTTTTTCATTTAATACATAGTAATAAACATTACTGAGCACCTTCTAAGTGCTTACTGGTCTGTATGCATCATCTTTTTATTCTGTGATTTAGGTGTTAAACTTTCAATAAACTGCACAGGGCTAGTAAGTCAAAGAATGAAGACTTACTTATGAGTGACTCTCAAACTTACAAAAAAATTATTTTTTTCAATGACTACATATTTCACCAACAGGATCTAATCTAATCTATTTAACCACTCTCATTAGGCAATCAGACTACTTTCAATTGTTTCCTGGATAATATATACAGAAGTCTTACTGCTAGGTCACATTCCAAAGGACTTCCTTTGGAAGTGCTGGTCCTTCAACCAATCAACTGCCCCTCATTGCATTGAACTTGTATTACTCCCCAGCGCTTCTCACTCATCGGCTGAGCTTTATGCACAGCTGTAGGTATATCCCTATTCCTAAATTAGGGCTGCACTAATTCTGATTTGTACAATGATGGAAATAAAGGCTTCTGCCAGCAAGGTAGTGTTAAATCTTTGGGTTCTTTAATAATATTTTACTCTGGCTCAGACAAACTCAATTCCATTTGTCACTTCCTGGGTAAGGAAATAAGTAGGGGCAGGAGGGGCATCACCTTCTTGGATGTTCTGTGCTGGTGTCTTGAGGGTACCACTTGGGAACCATGGGTTGGAGGCTGAGAACATTCAATCGAGGAACCATCTCCGGGTTGCATAAATTTTATGGGGAGCCTGTCACCAGTCTAAACCTTTCTATATAGCAAACCACCAATCCGCTCCTGGACTGACACCACTTGATGCCGATAATTTGATGCTGACAACATGGATCTTGTTTTCATTTCAATTATTTTACTTAGCCTCTCGCTGACCCCTGGTGGACTGCACAGGTACAGCACCTTTCAAGGTTGCAATGTCATATTTATCTACATAGTACCTATCTGTTCTTACCCATTTTACTGAATTATCTCTAGTTTCACTTGGTCACATCTGTCACTTCCTTTGATCACTTCCTTGCTTGTGCACTTAACATGTTGGGGCTTAAAATGTTTGTAAAAACACTGAAAAACGAAGCACGAACAGTGTAATACATGCATGCCACAGTATCCTGAGACTAGGGAACATATGCTAGGATTAAGATGCCTACAAGCCTGCTACCACAGGTCATTGGGGGAAAGTAGCATGGATATGCTTTTTCTTTGGCACCGGCTTTTAAGGCCAGGGAAAGGAATTCCTAAAGTCAGACAGTTAAGTAGGATGAGTTCAGACAATGGACTCCTGCAAGCTAATTAGAACAGATAATCAAAGAAACACGGAACCCTTGTGAACTGAGAACTGATAAGACAGAGCAATGCTATTAGAAGGATTCGCCTGGTAACTACTAACATGTAATGAAGTAGAAGACCAAGCTCAGGTCTAAGAATGCGGACTGTGTTATGATTGCTAGTACTTCTGAGAGGTAGCAAAGGCCTGGCCCTCGACTGGAAAGTAGGGACTGGGTAACTCACATCTGCTCCTGAAACACAATAGGTCTTAATTGCCTGCCTGGAGAGGAAAGGGGATAGCTCAAAAATTTTGAAGAACAGGTAACATGCCAAGGGGTGGAGAAAGAAAAGACAAAAAAGTGGTTGCACTTTCTCTTTCTGGCTCTACCATTACCAATGGCAGAATTCTTTTTAATTCTGAATAATTGTTACTGAGATTGAAAAAGAAACAAAATGAGTCCTGCTCTCTAGTTCTTGTGATTTCCAAGACCTTGGAGGATTCTAACAGCCCCTGGGTGTATCCTTCAGACATGGAAACGGATTCAGTGGTACAGAAAAAAATAAAAGAAATAGAGTGCGTTATGTCATCATGGTACCCTCTTCATGGGCCTAAAACCTTCTCTATTATAAAATAAATTCTCCCACCTGATCCTGTCTTCTATTTTTCTATAGCTCATTTTCTAGGAATAGACCTTCTAGGACATTTGATTGAAAGGAATCCATGATTCAATTAAATTTATTTTCCTAGTCTTTAGGTGCTGAATGCTTGCACAAAGCCTTCTCCTTACTAGGAGTGGGGTGTGTGAGAGTAACGTTGACTGATCACAAGCTTTCCTCTGAAATTCAGCTCACAAAATGACAGTGACCGCTTAACGGATACAGGGTAATCCCTTGGAGTGGAACTAGATAGAGGGATGGTTGTTCAACATTGTGAATGTACTAAACACCAATGAGTTGCACTCTTTAAAACAGTTAATTTTTATATTGTTAATATTCCCTCAGTTAAACAAAATAAAACCACACACGGTAGCATCTCTGGGATCCAGTATGCCGGGTAAATTCTTTAAGCATCTGCGGTACCAGCTCCGCCGTCCTTTGAAGGTTCTGACCTTTCACCTAGAAAACGCTGTGGAAAATTTTATTCTTCTTTGTCCTTTCTAAGAGCCAACCACGGCCTAGGATGGCTGGATGGATACAGGGTGTTTCAAAAAACCTCCTCTAGCCCCGACATCAGGAAGTCACCCTTTGTGCGCGGCCGCCTTGATCTCAGCAAGGCGGCTGGCTTCGCTGTCGCCCGCCCGCCCCGCGCGTCCCCCGCCCGCTGTCCGACTCCCGGGCCCAGGCCCCCGGCGGGCGGGCGGGCAGGCTGCGGCGGGGCCCGAGCACACCGTCCCCTCCCCCACTCGCGGCGCGGCGAGCGGCCTGGTGGGAAACGTAGTCCCGCGGCGCCCGGCCCCGCGGCGCAGCCCTCTAGCCTCCCGGACTTGTTTATCGCTCTAGCGGGAACAGGGAACAAGGCGGGGACCCCGGGCTGCGGAGCAGGTCAGGCCCTTCTGCGCCCGCTGCCGTGACCTCCCCTTGAGGGGCGAAGGTGAACCAATGTCATGGGCCAGGCCGCGCGCCCCAGCCACTCACCAGAGTGAGGGCGGCCCGGGTGGGCTGCAGCTTCCTTTTGCTCACAGCTCGGACGGTGGCCCGGACTAACGAAGCCGACATTCTCGCCGTCCGGCGCCGTCCTTGCCTCGGGCCGGAACTCAACCTCCTCAGCCTCTCTCCATGGACACTGCCGACTGCATTGACGCCACAAGCACGAGCGCACAGCGCCTCAAGCCCCGCCCTCGCTGCCGCCATTGGGCGGGCCGTGTGAATGACGGGAGAAGGGCTGGGCGCGGCGCCGGGGCTGCGGGACGTGACTCGGGGCACAGGGGCCACGGAAAGGTCATCCCGCGAGGGCGGTCTCAGGCCGGACAGGGAGACGAGCCAGGGTGCGCAGTGACCTCCGACTTGTATACCCTGGAGGTGCGTCGCTCCACGACCTGCCCCCCGCGCAAGGTGCGGCGCCGCGGCTTCAGGGCTCTGAGGAGTCAGCCCAGCCCGTTGCTGGTGTTCTTTAAGGCAGAGTGGTCCGAGGTCCCGAAGCTACATATTTTCAGCCTTCCCTTTTGGCCCAGCTAGGCCGTTCTTAACGTCGAATTAGCTCCAAAAGTCATGTAATAGACGACTCCTTTCTCCCCTTCCCCAGCGTGCTGTACTGCTCTGGATGTTGAAAGATGGTGCGAATGCCACCTTTGCTTTAGGAGCTGACTTTGGGGCTCGACCCACCGTTGTGTGTGACTGGGACAGCTCTGTGAAAACTCACACTAACCAATAAACCTGACTGAACACCTACCTGCTGCTGGTCAGATCTTGTTGTGGCCGCTCAGGGGCTTCTAGAAGCCTTTTAATTCTGTCTATAATTCAGCGAGTATTTCTGAGCACCTAGCACTACACCCGGGCATACACAGGAAGACTGGTGAACGGAGGGGCCAGGGAAGAATGAGATCCTGATAGGACAGACGTGCAGCATTAGCAGGTGGGAGAATGTTAGGATAGGTGTCATTTCTCAAGAAAGTGTTAGAGGTAAAGGGAAAACCATTCTGTGGAGTGCTGGGGATGGATTTTGGCTCGGGTTTTTTTTTTACGGAAAGAACTAACCAGTGCAGTGTTTTAGAGCCCACGTTATCTTTCATCCCCTACAGCCTACAGGATTGGATAGTTCAAAATTCCGTTAAGTAGTTCTCTCTCTGCTACTGAAATTGCATTGACAATAAAAGCATGGCATTTTCTCCCCCTAAACCCCGCTGCACACAGAAAAAACTGTGGAGTTAGGTTGTGAGTAGTGTGGTTTTAGTTGGGAGATCTGGGATAAGGTGTCTCATGCCCTTCCTCCTACAGATAACTATGATTAAATGAAAATCCTTTAGAAGAGTGCATGACACATGGAAGCACTCAATAAACGTTGCTAATTGTTACAAAATTGTTAAATCGTGTAAAGATGCAGACGTTGTGAAAACTACTTGGTATGATACAGTGATGGACACCTGCTATTATACACATTTGTTCAAACCCTTAGAATGTACCACACCAAGAAATGAATCATAATGTAAACAATGTACTTTGGGTGATAATATGCCTATGTGGCCCCACTGATGTGAATAAATGTCCCATACTGATGCAGGATGTGATTAGTTGGGGAGATTGGCTTGTGTGGGAGCCAGGGTACATGGGAACTCTTGTGTACTTTTTGCTTAATTTTGCTGTAAACCTGAAATTGCTCTAAAAAATAAAGTTGAATGAAAATGTAGGAGAAAGAATTACTGAAATAATGTTACACAGTTGTGCAGCACTTCATGGTCCCACTGCAGCCTCACAAGTTTGAGCTGGGTGGGGTGGGAGCATTGGCACTGCTATCACAAAAGATCTTAACTCAAGCCTTTCAGTATTATGCATCAGATAGTTTTAAAAAATCTAGTCCTCATTCTTCTGATTTAGGAGTCTGTGTATATTTAACAGCCTTCTTTCCTCTATTTAATACACACTGCTCAGTTTTTTAACCTGGTTAGCTGTTCGGCATGTAAGTGCTAAATCACCTAATCTACTAGTCAATGGATCAGCATACATGCCTTATGTTACTTGAAACTGGGGCCAGTCTCTGAGATAAACTGCTCAGTTAGAAGAGTTTTCATGCCTTGTAAAAAACATGTTAGCTCCTTTATCTCTGAGCAGCAACTGTCCTGTGGTGTGGAAATGAGGTGGGTGTGGGAACTGTTGTAGATTTCCACTAAAGGGCAAATAGGTAACATAGGGAAGTCACTGCACTTCAGGACTTAAGTGTCAGGGTTCTAGACATTAAAAAAATTGTTCTACTAATTAGCTGTCAATCTTCATTATTCAGTGGGAAGGCAGGTAGGATTTCCCTTTTACAGGCGAGGAAACCACTCTGCCAAGAGTTTGGGGGATTGCCACACTCGCAGCTGGAAAACCGGCAGAGCCAGACCCTAATTAAGCCTAGAATTCCACTAGGTGAAGTGTGCTAGATTCTTGACTGCTGCTCTCCCAATATCCCTGCTTTCAAAGAAAAATAACAGCACATCTTTTGTTTTACGGGTGTTTGTTAAATTCTGGTTTTGGCCTGTAACATTACGAACTCTTCTGACCTATCTATCCAAGGTTTTTTTTGTGCAGGAAAGGTTTTGTTATTTTAAAAAATAGAACCATTTGTGAAACACATCTCAAGATGAAAAATAAACTCAAATTATGTCAGAAAATTTTAATAACATCTCTAAGTGTGCACACTGCTGACACTACACACACTGTACAAGATTAAAAAAAGTGTAGACTGGGGCTACAAAAATGGATGTAATATTTTTGTTTGTTCTTGAGAGAGAGAAAGTAAAGGAGAACCCTTATAGGGGCATTTGGGGAGCTTGTTAAGAGAGACAGGCCAGCTGCATTTGAAAGATAGCTACGCCCTGGGCACTGGACTCGGCATGGAGCAGACGCGCCTGTTGCCTAGCTGCAGTGCTAAGAGGCTGTGACCAGCATCCAAGCAAAGCAAGCACAGAACCAGGTCAATCTCTTCTCCAGGTCTGGCAAACACTACTCTCGTAGTGATCCAGCATGAGGGACTGAGAATCAAACAAAAAGCCTAATACACTGGGCAAAATCTACAGCAATCAGAATAAAATGTAGGAAAATTTGTAATATCCTTAAAAGGTTATTAAGAAAACATACTTTCCATGAAAAGGGACATAATAAGAACAAGTAAAAGAATGAGAGGAAAAGGAAGGTGGGTGTGGTAAGTTAAACTAAGAGGTGGAATGACAAAATTCATGTTAAAAACAGCAGAATAACACTAAAAAATTAAGCTGGTCATGTGGAGGCTAAACTTGAGTTTTCCTAGCATAAAGGAAAGATGATTGGGAGATGAATATTGAGCAAGGAAGTATTTTTGAGAAAGAAGAATTAAGAATATGAATACTTTCTCAAATTGAGGAAAAAAAGTAACAAAAGATACCTTGGGTAGGGAAATACATTGGATTCACTTTTGTTTCAGACAAAAGTCACTTACATAGAAGTTATAGGGATAAAACAAACACACAAGCATCCAAGAAAAATAAAGCCTGTAAGAGAACAAAAATTGGGCTGGCCTCAAGTCTTCTGCTACAGTGCCGGAAGATGAGTGTGTCAATAGGCTTTCCAAACCAAGTGTGACAAGAAACATATGCTTAGTCAAGCTGACTTTCATGCACAAAGGCAAGAAATCAAAAAGCAGCAGCTGAGGAAAGTCACGTACAGCAGTTTGAGCCCACGTTGTGTAATTCATTTGTTACTTCATGAATTTGTGGTTCATTCAAACACAGAAAGGAGTGATCACTAATTCTTTCTACCATAACTTCCCAATTCTAAAATTAATTTGGGTATGACTCTTTTTAGCTCAAACAAGTCTTCAAGTCATGTGTTTAAAAGAAGGGCACTCAGGTGTTCTGAGCTCTCTCCTACCTGGGAAAGCCTGCCCAGCAAGCAACCTCTGCATCCCTCTCTAAGTATTCATCCTCCTATGTCTGAGCCTCTTATGTGCGAGTTCCCAGTGCTTGGCACACAGTGGATGTCAATGAGTACCAGACTGCAGAAGCACAAGTACAGAGAGCATGAGATGAAGAAGAGCAGAGCTGAACGGCCCAGGGATTTAGACTCTCTCTAGGAAGTAATGTGGATAAGCTAACAGGCTGAAATTGTTTTCAAAATGATAAATAAACCTAGACATAGTTCTGACCATGTATTACTTCTGAAGGGCTTTTGAAGTTAGAGACCATGAGGGTTCCAGTCAGACCCATGATGACACCAACCAAATTTGTGATTGGCAGAGATAGCCTCTTTAATCTCCAGGGATTTTTAAAAATTCTCCACCCTAAATTTTGAATATCGTAAAAAGTAAAAAGCACTTTTATTTTGTTATTTTTTTTCCTTTGAAAATGTTTTTAGCAGCAAACAGGACTACTTGTTTTCCTTACTTCATTTTTATGAGTACAGTAGTTATAAGTCCACTTACTTAAAATTAGAAAGGGAAGAACCCAACGCCCCTTGGTGGCACTGCTCATCCACAGAAGGCTCACATAAATAGGTACTCATGTTCATGTTACCACTTTGACAAATAGCAATAAAATAAGGCTTGTAAATCGTAAATACAGTAGTAGCAGTTCACACATACTTGATATGCTTCCACACAAAAGATTCAGTAAAGAACAATAAATATAATTTCCCCTCTTCAGAACAAAAGGGAATATAAGGGACAAAAAAGGATTAATTTAATTGGGGTTTATCAGTACACCATTTTTAGTGTGTTTGAAATAATTAAAAAACATGAAATTGTATTCACTGAATGCTGGCCCAGTTACATTTTTTTTTTAAACCTGGGTTTAAATACATACATCATAGCTTTCTTTTAAAATCTTTAAATCTATGGGGATTTGTGGTAGGTAAGATTATATTCATTATTTTTTTTCTCATCAACAATTCATTAAGTAAAAAGAAATCTGACATTTCCTTTAAATGTTAAGTTGAAGCCTGATCTATGCTGCTATGTCCTGTGAAATGAACCTAATTTTCAAAGTGAATAGATGCCTGAGTAGCCATTTAGAGTGCTGCATTTTCTTTCCCTCATGATTCCTGGTGGGTCCTCTTCGCTGAGGCTTTTCCCTGAGTCATATATTTACTGGAAAGGCTACCTAGAGGAGGGGAAAAAACAAAACCCAACATAAATAAAACAAGCCTTACTTTATCGCAAAAGCCATAAAATTACTTCTTATTGTTATTTATAGAAACTTTTCATACTGGCATTGGTCATCTGCTTTGAATCAAGTAATCAAGTGAGATATAAAAAAGTATATATGGAACATGATCTATTAAATACAAGCCTAGTCAAAGTTCTTTCTAAATGCTGACAACATATGCTTCACATGTTCCCTATTTTCATGCTGGTGCAGACGGCTGATGAACTTTTCAAAGGCTCTGCTTTGCATAGATTAGTCTTCATTTGCAACCACACAGAATAGATTGCAAATAATGTTTTTGGTCTTGCATTGTTGCTCTGCTGTTATGAAGCTATGAATGGTGGCATTCTAGCAATAATTTATTGATATAAAAGGAAAAAAGGAAATTTATATCTACAGGACAGAAATGAAGATTACTAATTAAAACCATACCAAGTAAAATTTAATACATATTGTTCTGAAGTCTAAACAAATAGATCAATGAAACAAGAAAAAGTGAAAAGTTCTTAAGTGATTAAGAGAAATCTAATCCCAGTTGAATTAGAGAATTAAATACAGGAGAGTTGAAATATAAGAAGTAGTGAATATTTATATAATCTTGGTGTTGGGAAGAATTTCCTAAGCATACCACCATAGGCTGTATCTATGAAAGTCTTGCTATGCTTAGTCCTCAAGAATTTACAAATCAATAGAAAAAGAGGAACACCAATAGATAGCTGGGGAAAGAAAAAGCAATATACGAAGGAGAAAAAAATCATGAGCCACATGCCAATGAAAACTGATGATGGAAAAATCAATCATTTGATTATCTCAAAGTTAAAAACTTTGGAGTGGCAACAGACATGAGTTAAAAGACAAGACATACTGCAGGCAGATAACTGGGAGGTATAGAATAAAGGAGCAGTACTCAGAATAAATGAACACTTACAAATTAATAAGGAAATGATAATGAAATAGGAAAATGGGCAAACAATTTGGACAGGCAATTTACAGAAGAGGAACTCCAACTGGCCAATAAACATAAAATGTGCTTATTAGCATTTGTAGAATCAAGAAAATATACATTAGAACACCACCAAAGTATTTTGCCTGTCAGATTTGCAAACATAAACACTGCTGGTGGGAGTTTTGACCAAAAATTTGGTAATATCTAACTAAACTGAAAATGCTCCTATGCACCTAACAGTTTGACTTCTAAGTATACAAATTGTATATAATCTCTCATACATGCTTAAGGAGACTCCCACAAGAATGTTCACTATAGCACTATTAATACCAGCAAAAAATCTGATGCAATCTAGATGCCCTTATGCTAAGTAATATACACATAACATTTGTGTTCATATGATGACATACTAGAAGATACAAAAACTAAATGTATATACAGCAGCATATATAAATTGCAAAATCATTCCATTAAGTATGTGAAAAAGTAGGTTGCAGAAATCCTTATTATACAGTATGATACATCATTTGAATTAGAAAATTCACCAACGATACACACGTAAGTCTAGAAAAAAGAAGGGGAAAGACACCTGAATGCCTAGTAATGGATGCTTCTGGAGTACAGGGGATATGATCGTCGGAACAGACTTGGAGCGGTAGTAAGTCCACCATCTTAACGATCTCTTATTAAAAAAAGATTGAAAAGAAAATGTGAAAAAAAAGTGCCAATTCTCTAGTACATGGGTTATTATATTTGTACCATTCTATATTTTTCCCAAAATGTTAAGAGACCATTCTTTTCTCAGAATAGTACTAATAGTTTTATTACTTTATCACTTAAATGTAATCCCCTATATAAAAAATATATCTCATCTTACCTGAAGAAATTTCGTATACAAAATTTCCACATAAAAAACAAAAATACTAGAAATAAAATATGAATGAACGTGGGGGTGGAAAGAACACTGAATTCCTAAAATTGTGTAAGTATGACTTGAAACTACCCAAAAGTCAGCCAAATCAGACTACTAAAACAAACAAGCAACCAAATGTCTGTTAGCAAAACAAACCATAAATGAGCCTGAAAGAATAATAAACTGCACTGGTGATGGTGAAGGATGTTGTAGCATGTTACAAAGCACTAATGTATTTCTATGTAGGAAGAGCTAAAAACAAAAGATGAATACACTAATACAAAAACACAAAAACATGAACATGAAGAAATACAAAGGAAAATGTGAAAAATATTAGTATTCAATGACAATAATAGAAATTTAAGCAGATTAGCAAAACAGACTATCCCAGTTAAATGAGAGAAAGGGAAACAGATTGAAAATATGACTTTGGGGTTGTCAACAATCACATTTTAACATCACTGCCATCAATGTCAAAATGTGCATACCTTTGAATCCATCATTCTTCCAACTAGGAATTTATCCTGAGGAAATTACTAGGTACGGATGCAAATATTCATCATAATGTGTGATATATATAACAGTGGTCTTCAAACTTGGATAACTGTATTCCTGACCAACTTAACAGGACAAGTGGGCAGTGAGTTTAAGAGTCAACTGTAGCATCTCCACTTCTATCTCCTTCTCCACTGTGGTTAAGGCTGTGGGCTGGTTCCAGGAATTACACCACTTTTCCTTCCCAAGTGCCTTTCACAACTCTTCTTTCCCTACTTTATAAAAGAGGGGCATATGTCCTAATCATTCAAACCCTAATGTGGTAGCCCTGGGGTGAAAACACCTGGGGAGGCAGGAGGCAAACAATGCTGATATCTGTGGTAAACATGAATGCCCCTAATAAACACCCAAATTTTTAGCTTTTGTTAAATTACACTGGTAGATGATGATCATCATAAATAATTCCTGCTCATACATAATTATGTGATTTTTGGTCATTTCATTAAAAAGGAATGAAAATAACTCAGTGGCACTGTTGCAATACATTTTCCATTCCCAAACTCTTGGAATTATTTCCATTATTTTTAATTTGCTATCATAAAGACTACTGAGGTTTGTCAATGTTTACCAACTATAAAAACAAAAAAGATTAATAGGAACAGTAAGGAACACTTTTACTTCTGCGATAAGTCATACTGATGCAAAGATAAATGATGCATGGTGAAAAATTCCATCAATCTCATTAAGTGGCAGTTATTTTTCATAAGTAAACATAAAAGTAATTTTTAATCAAAATTTGTGATATTTATCAATTATATATTCTAATAATTGTAAAAACTGAATTTAGAAGAAAAATTTTCACTGAGACAATAAAAAATTTAAAAATCCTATTTGTATATTTTTGTTGCACATAAGCTTGATAGGCTGATAAAATGCTTGAAATGTATATGATAAAAATGTATCTTAAGAAAAAGTTTTGTGAAAGTAAAACAAAGGAATCCAAGGAGAAAGGGAAATGATGTAAAATCTCTCCCTGCTAAAGAAGAGCTGTAAATGGATGATGGTAGGTATGAAAAGGCAATTATATTTATTTCACTTGATACAATATAAGGGTGATTTAAAGTTTTCATTTTGAAACATCTATATTTACCAAAAAAAATTTACAAAGAAATTACATGCTTTGGAACTATGATAAAAACTTAGATGTCATCTTGAATATTATAGGAGATATATATGGGCTTTCAACATTTTGGGGAAGAGTGTGAAAGGCAAAAAAGTTTTGAAGACATTGATATACCAAACATTTAAAAATAGCTAGCCAATTAAATAACTGAGTAATAGTTTATTCATATACTGGAATCATTAAGAAGGGTATAAGAAATGATCTATATTCACTGATAATAAGATTTCTCCATACTGTTTAAAGAAGTACTTCTATTATTTTAAAAACTTTTACTATCATGAAGACCCTTTTTATAAAAATAAGGTGTCTTTCAAATTATCATCAAGGAAAAAAGTTCTAATAGTATACATCATAATGAGGAAGAGAAAGATACCCACTGGTCTCTTATAATACCTCCAATTTTACAATTTCAAATCATGAGATTAAAACAGAATAAATGAAGAGAGAGGTAGTTTTTTTTTCAAGTGTAATTTTCTTTGCAAAAAAGGGGGGAGATGATGGAATAGAACATTAGTTTCTTGAGATTCTCATACTGAGAAAGTTGTTATATGTAAACCAGAGTAATTAACTTATGCATAAAAAATCAGTTTGACTATAGTTCTGCAATCTCCACACACTGTTTTCTAAAAATTTCCATCATATATTTGTCCTATACATTAGAAGAGATAAAATACAGCAAAGTTGGAGATGTTCTATCAACATATTAGCGATAATCTACTGAGTAGTAACATGTGCCAGATGCTGTGTTAATGACTTTGTGTTTATTAAATTAATTCTTACAAATGCTCTGTGAGGTGTCAGCCCCATTTATTGATAAGGAAACGGAGGTACAAAGAGGTTTGATAACTTGACAGAAATGACACAGCAAGCAAGTGGTTCAGCTGCACTTCAGACTCAAATTTGTCTGACTTCAAAACTCATGTTCTTGACCATTTTCCCACTTAATTCCTTCAAAATGAGTAAATCTCTAATCAATGAAACTTACTGAACATCTAAAGCATTGTGTTAGCCATGTGTTATGTGGGGAAGGGAAGTAACAATGAAGAACAAGGAAATTCATGGAATGTTCTATTCACCACTACCCTGTTTGGGAGTTAAGACTTAATATGTGCATCCTAGTGGGAAGGAGTGGAGGAGAGTTATCAGGAAAGGTAAGAGAACTTGGCTGAGTGATGACTATAGGCTGGGTGCTTTAATCTTCTCAGTTCCTGATGAGACTAACAGTGTTATCGCCACTTTTCCAGATGAGACACCTGGAGCTCAGAGAAGCCTGTCTCTTGCCTAAGGTTAGTTAGTATAGCTAACGTGCGAAAGCAGGAGTTGTCTGTACCAATGGGCTCTGGTCAGGACCCTACCTGTGTGTCACAGGCATATTGAATATTATGGGAAAGAAGAGCCCCAGGGAAATTTAATACTACTTACAGCTGAGACATATTTCACATTTATAATTATGTAGACAATTTGGAAATTTATAATGGATAATTATATTTGACAGCCTTAACAGTTGTCATATACTTACTTGAAGAGTTAATTAAGATTTTAGCAACTCAGATATTTTCTTTTCTTCTGGTATAAAGAAGACATATTTATTGTAGTAATTTTTTCTGTAGTAAATTTAGGTTTTAAGTTTTATAGTTGCTCAAAGATTTATAAATATGTTAAGTCTTTTACTCAGAAGATAAGTACAGAGATCCTAACTTACTGTTAATCGGTAATGCCATTTCTAACACCTAAACATAGGTATATTCATCTGTATTCCTCCCAACTTAAAAAAAGAAACTTATAAAATCATACTAAATTCTACTTTCAAGATATGTAAACCCTTTAGCTGGAGCAATGCTGATGGATGTTCTGCAGGAATATCTATGCAATCACCAACCCCCTAAACCTCTGCTTTGCTCTTGTTATGTGCCTGTGCTGGTCTAAGTGCTTTCACATGGATTTCTCGACATCTCATGTTTATTATTATTATTATCCCCTTGTAACAGATGAGGAAACTGAGGCAAGTGGAGGCTGAGTAGGTTTTTCAAGATCACAAAGCTAAAAATCATACTGTGTAATCTAACTGCAGAGCTGATGTTCTTAACTACCTCATCCTTGGCAAAGCAAACATCTCAACTACACAAGGGTCAGTGCACTTCCTATGTGAAATGTTCTGGGAATATCTGTTCCAGGCTGAAGCTCAGAAAACAGTACTCTTTGGCTTATTTACATGTATTAACTATGTGATCCTCAAACTCTCAGAGGATCTATGGGAAACCATCCTATAAACCATATTTGGGAAAGTGGAGCCCATTTCCCATTTACTTTCATCTGCTGACGTGGCTTCCAGAGGCGGACTGTCAATCTCCTTATCCACCTGTCCAGGTTGCTCTCACTGTTATCAAAATTGTCTCACCACAGGTCCCATTCTCATTTCCCTTCTATTTGATTCTGGGGTTTTTCCCAGAAAACTTGCTTATTTTTAAGTCCATGCATTCCACTGAGAACAATTACAAATCTTCCCAGGAAACAGCTGTCCTGTTTTCTCAGAGCACCTCCTGCGTCTGTACCCTTATGTACACCATTCTTCTTTGGTAAGTGTAGTAACTAAAGACTTCTGTTTCTTTCTCTTTGAATCATCCAACCTCACTCTGCATAGCAACCTCAATCCCCATGCCTTTTGATTGTAAAGAGATTTGATGCCACTGCAAATGTTTCCCCCTACCATTTAAAAAAATAACCAACCATAAAATTCACATATCAAAAGAAAAAATGCCAATTTCTATTTAGAATGTTTCATATACTTGAGATAATTCATTTTGTTGCCAACAGAATTGGAAGTAGTTAAATAAGTTGAAAATTGTGTTTATTTTTCTCTTGTTAATAACATTCAAAGTAGAGACACCCGATATTCTTTGCCTGTAGCCTTCTTAGCTCTCCCAGGGAAAGAGCAGCATGTCCTAGTTATGTCAGATTGGGCTGATGCAGGCAGGGAAGAGCCCCCCTACTGTGGGATTTAGGAGGCTGCTGAAGGTCTGAAAGTGACACCTCAATAGCTGACACCCAAAGGCAGAGACGACTTAGTCTTTTCATACTCTGTAACTCACATGGGTATCTCTCCAATCTAAAAGCAAACAGCGTTTGCATATTAGAAGCTGAGCATAAAACATGCGGGGTGTTTTACATCATATACAAAACTATCAGTTTATATCAAAAGTTTTAAAATTTCAAAACTTAAAACTTTTCTCACAAACTATAATCATGTTAAAAAGACTACACATGCTCTGTGTGCTCATGTAATTTCCCTCCTTTACCCCAATTTTACTGAACAAGATGTGAAAGAGAGGAGAGACAGAGACAGGTATTTAAGTTACTGAGGGTGTCTGCAGGCCCAAACTCAGGATGTTTGCATTAAGTTTATAGTTTCATCCTTTCTTACTAAAAAAGGCTGAAGAGGGTACTCATAATGTTAAAGTTACTTTGTTTTGTCTTTTTCCCCTCAATTCCTCCTTTCTCTTTCCAGACTCAAGAACACTCTTCAAACATCAAAATAAGGCCTCCAGCACCTCCCTGTTCCCCCTCCCTTTCAGTATCTGTCCATAGGCCTGGGGCCTTGGTGGGGTGAGGGTCCTGGTGCTTTGCACCCACAGCTGTGGTGACGGTGCCCCTAATTCCTCTGGCAGCATTTCTCACCAGAAGTCCTGGCCGCCAGGTTTTGCTCCCCTCCACTCCAAAGAAGTCACTCTTTTCAAAGTCACCAGTGACATGCACATTGCCAAATCCAATGCTTAATTCTCAGTCTGTAACGGCAACAGCCTATGTATGTATGAGCAGCAATCCCCACAAGTAGACTGTCCCTTCTCCTTGGCCATTTCTCTATTTGGACTCCAGGACCCAGCTCTCTTGCTTCTTCTGCTCTCTCACTGACCGTTTTTTTTTTCTGTCTCCTTTGTTTATTTGCCCTAAGTGCTTTTCTCTCTTCTATCTGCATTGACTTGCTAGGTGATCTCATTCAGACCCAGGCCTTTAAATACTATCTACACACTGAAATAACTCAAATTCAGATCTCCAGGCCGGACCTCTGCTCTAAACGCCAGACTCGTATATCCAATTAACTACTCAGCATCTCTACCCTGTTATCTCGCAGGCCTCTTAAACTTACATGTCTAAAACTGAGCTCTGTTCTTTCTAGCCTTCCCTAGCACAGGAAATTCAACCTCCATTTTCCTAGTTGCTAAGGCCAAAAATTGTACTGTCATTTCTGATTCATTTTCTATCATACTTTATCATGTAACCCATCAAAAAATCATGTTGGCTCCCTTCAGAATATCCAGATTTTGACCAGTCCTCACCTCCCCCACAACTTCCACCAAAGTCTAAGCTGTCATTATCTCTCCCCTGAACGCCTGCAGGAGCCTTTTCATTGGTCTAAGTTTCTACCCTCATTCCTCACAGCAGCCATAACAAACCTTTTAAAACAGAATTCAGGTAATACAACTCCTCTGCTCAAAACCCTCTCATAGCTGCCCAACTCACTTAGAAACAAAATCCATCCAACCATTGCTCAAGGCTCTCCAGGATCCAGAGCTATTTGCTCTGACCTCACCTCCTACCACCTCCCTCCTTGCTCGTTCCACTCGGTGATGCTGTAAGACAAAAGATGTTTTTAGTTCTGCTGTAACAGAGGAACTCCAATTTCTCCTTGACTTCCCCTTCCTTTCATTTGATTCTTTCCTTAAATGTTACTTTATCAAAAGCTGCTTCCCTATTCGACATTTTCCTTCCTCTTTCTTGCTTTGTATTTCTTAGCACCTGTTGTCACATGAAATATTTGTTTCTCTTCTGATGAGAATTTACAGTAAAGGAGAGAAGGAGCTTTGTTGATTCATAATGAATCTACAGTACTTAGGTCCATACTCTGCACTTAGCAGGGATGGGAGGACATAAAAAATACTTATTGAAGGAGTGAGGAAATGACGTGGCTGAGACAGAGTGTGGAGTTCAAACCAAAAATTACTATCTTTTCTAATTTTGGTGCATGGCAAATAATCTCCATGAGAAGAATACACTGCTAACAAGACAGTGGCAATTTCAAAGCAGAAACAAAAAGCATGGAAGAGGAACAAATAATTAAAGACTAAGGTTCTTACTCAGAGATAAAGTTCCCCAAGTGATTCTGATGTCCAATCCCTATTACAACCATTTATTCAAAGGAGGAATCTCAAAAGGCATGTGGTAAACTATGCAGTAAATAAAATAACACACATTTTTTTAAAACCCACATACCTGACTGGGGACTCAAAAATACAGTTGTTTTTTGTTTCTTTTTGTCTTCATGTAAAAGCACTGCCTAAAAAATGAAATAGACTGGTTTACAAAATCGAAACGAATAGCATCTGAAACAGCTTTAAAACTGTAACCATATCCAAGGAGAGCTGAAATTAGGCATGTGGGTGGCAGAACTTGGCAAGTTAACTGAAAAGAAGACACATATGCAGGAATCCTCAAAGCACGCCCTGCCATCCGGTGCATAGCAAGCCTCCCCGTGCATGCCCCCCACACTGAGGGCAGTGAAGAACAGGAGGGTTAGCCAGAAGGAAAGGTGCAGGGCCTAGGCCTGCCAGCACCTTGCCGACAACCTGGCACAGAGCTGCTAGTACTCAAGTGTTTGCTGAATAGACAGATGATGAATGGCCTCCTGCTCAGGGTTGAGGCAGGATTACCTGAACAAATGTGCCAGCCGGTCTCAAAGGGCTAGGTGGAGAAGGGGCGCCAAACACACAATCTGATTTAGACATACCTGAGAAAGAAATCAACACTTTTTGTTCCTACTTTAAACTGAAAGCAGTAGTCCTGTGTTCAAACTTTCAAAGAAAGATTTTCTGTTGATGTGACAGAGGCTCCGTTCAGTGGACAAAATAACATATTTGAAGAATGGAGAGGGAGAAGTGTACTTTTCAGACAAGAAGCAGCAGCTAATTATTCTGGACTGCTAATGGAGGAAACTGACTAGACTCCAGCCCCACATGGCCTTATTTAATTTCATAACATGGTAACTACTTCATTCAATGTGTAAACACTGCATTCTGAATAAACCCAGATTTCAATGCTTCTCCTTAGTTTTGATAATGCCTCAGCCCCCACCCCAGGTTATCTCCTCTCTCTGATTTGCTTCTACCCCATGTCCCTCCCACTCCCAGCCTGCCAATTGCTGCTCTATTTTGAAAGTTGCACTAGTAGACAATTTATAACTTGCTACTAGGTAAAAGAAGAAATCCATCAAAGCTGGGGGAAGGCAAGAGCTCCCCTTCGCTGCCTTTTACCAAAGAACACAATGACCACGTGCTCTATGCTATCAGTAAACACAGACCTTGAGTTCTTCTGAAGACAGCCTACAAAAATAATTTTGGTAAAACTTATCCTGTCTATACTGTTTACAGTTTCCTCATCTGTAAACTGGGGATATCAGTAATACCACATTTTGTGGGCTGTGGTAAAAATTCGATGATTATCCATGTAAAGTATTTCAAACAGTGGTTGACCCATAGTAAGTGCTCAGGGAATGTTAGCTATGGCAATTTAAATTTTCTCTTAAATATATTTACCTATTTTAAGCATAAAAGAAAATCATTTTATTCTGATTTATGTCCCACATTCAGGGCAAAAAAATTTGAGTTTGAGTTTGAGTTCCTTACAAGTAAAGCAAGCTGCATCTTCTATACCTATTTAAGACCTATTTTAGAACTAATAATTAAAGAATTAAAAAATACACTTCTTTCCATTAAAAGCTACTTAAAAAAAAAATAAGGATAGGTGATCTAAAAATTCTGTCTTAACAGAAAGAGGCACTGTATTACTGATATAATACTATGAAAATGGAAGAGAGGTACTTGTGTTACAGGAACAATGAACACTAGAGTATTTTAAGGCAATTGTCAGCAATGCTGACTTTATGCTGTCCATAAACATATACAATTAAGGACAGGAATAAAGCTTCTACTTTAATAAAAAATATTACTTTTCAGGGTTTCTTTTCTTTGCTAATCAAATATCATCCACTACAGAGGTTTGTTCGGGGAAACAAAGTGAGGGCATATAAATTGCTTTGTAAATCATAACTTATTACACACACACACACAAGGCACCCTTACTCTGCAAGGCCTGTTCAAAAGGCACCCACAATGGGCACTGTCAATTTAATAGAAAAGGCCAATTCAGATCCACTGGATGATCTTCCACTATAGACGGATAATACATTTTTCCTCATCATAAGGATAATCATGCCCAATATACACAAAATATTAAAATGATAAAATCTCCCATTATTCTCTTCTGCATTAGCCCTCTTAACTGTGTAGTGTATTTACTTCTAGTACCTTATCTAGTCATATATTTCAACAAGAATACAAGTGGCTCAGGTACACACAGTATGGTCCTGAGAACTTTAGCTATGCTTCTCCAACAGCTGGTCAGTGCGTCTACTTCAAAAGTGCACGTAAGGGTAGGCAGCTTTGTTTTTGGTCACTTGGGTTACATTTTTTAGGTACGAGGTTTCTAATTCATCGATAATCTTAGAACTGTCAACGAAGTGGCTTTCATAAGCTTCTAAGAAAACCAGGAGTAAATGTTTAAACATACAGAAGGTCAGAAATAAAGAGAGAGAGGGACTTCCCTTTGTTTCTTAAAAACAGAATCTCTTTCAGTAATAGATTTGTTAAGGAAATAAATATGATTAAAATAGTAAGGAGCTCTAAAGTAGAGATTTCCCTTGAGATGTGAGTACAAACATCAAGGTGAAACTGGTGTCCATACCTGGAAAGCCTTTAAACTGTGGGCATTCCTTTTTGATGTGCCCTTCTCTTCCACAAATAAAACAACGCTTTTCTCTCAAGTCTTTGTCATCCTGTCTCTTCCATTTTTCCACTGGTGGTCTGAGAATCTTCTCTCTCCCCAGGTCAACAGCTGCCCTCACTGGCTTGGCTTTCTGAGGTGTGCATTGCATGGGTTTCTCTTCTTTTGTTGGTACATCCCTTTCTGTGGACTTGTTTTGAATTTCTTTGTCCTCTCTGTTTCTTTTCTCTTTGTTCTCAGGATATCTTTGGTTCAGGTTATCTTCCTGATCTCGCCGTCGTCTCACTCTGTAGAAGATATAAGACTAGTATGAAATATCTAAACAGAAACCTAACAAATATTAGGACCACTCCAGGTTTGGGAGATAACCAAGAAAGAGAAGATACACACAGTATGGTCCTGAGATAACTTTAGCTATGCTTCTCCAACAGCTGGTCAGTGCGTCCACTTCAAAAGTGCATGTAAGGGTAGGCATGAGAAAAACAAGAATTTAACAAATTTAAGTCCATCTTCTCTATTAAGAAGCAACCTCAGGTCTTAAGGGTGTAGTTTTTTTTTCATTTTCACAGTTACACTAGTGCTGTAAAACTAGTATTTCCAATTAGTGCAACTCCGTGGTTCAGTACCTACTCTGATACTGATGTAACAATGCTTAAATTATCCTGGGAGCTTTCTTGGCCCATCAGCATTCTTTACAAGGCACTGGAGATTTGAGATGTGAAACTTTAAGTTCACAAGGGAACAATGGTTGTAAGGAGATTTATGTTCTTAAAATGTCAAAATCATTTCTTGCTTGCTCTACATGATCAAATGATTATTTGAATAAAAAACAAAATAAGTACTAAGTACTATATAAAGCTATAAATTCCAGATAGTGACTTATTTAAAGTAACATGCTTTTAAATGGGAATATTACTGTCCAGTTAAAAACACTGCCACCACCCAAAACAATCATCTGTGCCAAGTGAGCAATCAAACACATGCCCTGTCGCCCTCCCACAAACCTCGCCAGGAGTGAGCAAAGTGACTACACTGAACAGGTCGCCACAGTGGCTATTTAGGGTTCAGCAGCAGACAAGTGAAGGGTCCTCTACTCTAGTAAACTATTAGTGAGTCTAAATCCCAACATGGCACACTCTGGTTATTGTACAGTAGAAGTGTCACTGATCTCTGAAGGAACCCATTTTACTTGTCATTGCTTGGAATGACTCTGAACCACTTCTCACTGTTGTAAAAGGGAAGTTAGTTTCCTCTTCTTCCATCCCTACTGGAGAGGCTTAAAACCAAATGACTGGTTAAAGATTAGAACTGTGATCAAATTAGGAAAGGGGACCAGACCCGGAAGATTGTCACCTGTATACCTGAATCAATCTTAGTCATCTGCACTTAATGTCATGTTTTAAATCACTTTGTCTTCATTGTAAAAAATCTTAAATTTATCTGAGAAACTGTTAGGTTTAATATAAGTCTATTTGCTTTTACAATAGAACCTCATTTAAGAACTAGTACAACAAGAAAATAACAAAATCACTTCTTTTCAACATTTACTTACTTTCTCCTCATAGGACAGTCCTTCATGAAGTGTCCAATTTTCCCACAAATTCGGCAACATCTATCATTCGGGGCTAGCTCTCCTTCAGTTAGTACGTCCGGATCAAAAAAGTATTCCTAGCAGAACATAAATACATAATAATCTGAGTTATTAATGTGAGATCAAAACACAAAAACTAACCAGATATCAATCAGAAATCTTATTTCTCAATTTTAACATGTTGTTATTTTTGATAATTATTATTACACTGCTTAATTCCAAAATCTCAAACCACTAAGAGGTCTAATTCAGGCTAGTTTTACCTGAAGTCATTTTTATTTATTGTTGTTCATGCAGAACACTGTTTAACCGTAACCATAAGGATAGCCTTTTTTTCCCAGCACACTTCTAAGAGCATTATACATCCCCGAGTCAGCTTCCCCAGCACTTGGGGGAGGTGGAGGCCAGGTACAAAGGCCTCATTTTCTCATAAAATGAAAAGGTTAGAGCCTAATGAACTGCAGGACATGATTTGCATCACACAGATTATACAAAGGAAAAGACACTATGTGCTTTTATTTTGTTTTTTGTGGCTTCTGAAGATAATGGAAGAAAGGAAAGACAATGGTCTCAATTCTAGCCTCTTTGCCACTGATACTAAGGTGGGAACCAGCAACAGGCATCACTTGGGAGCTTTTGGAAGGCAGAGTTTCCGGCCCCACCCCAAACCTCCTGAATCAGGATCTACATTTTTAACAAAATCTCCCGGTGATCTGCTTGAACAAGTTTCAGAAGTACCAGGAGAAGACCACCACAGCAATATCTAGCAATATCTAGCAAAAATCAGAACAGATGTAATGAAATGTTGAATATGCCTGTGCATCCATACACTTTAAGGTTCTTTTGAAGTCTTTATTAAGGAAAATAATGCAGGAAAAAAAAATATTCTTAACATAAAACCCCCTTGGTTTCTCACCCTCTTTTCTCTCACTGAAATAAGTTTTGTGGTTTTTAATGACTATGGTGCCATAAAAACCTGAGGATCAGGTTACGTGGAACAGACAGTTCTCCAGCACAGGCAGCATTCTCTCTCTTAGTCTCATTAAGGGATTTATTGCTCTTTGCAAGCAGACTAGAATATCGGGAGTTCACATGGGGAGGGCGGAGGATGTTCCCTAGATATGTGCAAACTGGCCCGACAGAGGCTGACACAGAGTACTCAACTGGCATTGCTGGTGGAAAAGAACACTACCCACACATCAGCAAAGAAACCAGCAGAAAACAACATTCACACTTTTGCCACCCAAGCTCCGCTTCTGGCTATTTACCCGTTCTCCTGATAAATGGCCTCAAAACAGGGTTTAAAAAAAAATGCTTGTAGAAAAAAAAAAAGTTTTTAGGAATTATTTTGTATTGTAATTGGTTATCTTGGCTACACTCATTAGGTGTACACAGTATGTAAGTAATTAATGAAGTAATGTGTACAAATTAGGTGCTTAGTAATGGCTTTTAGAAATTTTTTTTGTATTTCCAACAGACACTTACCATTTTTGATGGGTAGTCCTTTGGAAATCCTTTGACTGGAATACCAAATACTCTTCTTCCATTAATAAAAGCCTTCATTATAAAATTTGTCACTAGAAAAAAAAGAATAAATGCTCAATTAGATGGATTAAAAGAAAAAAAGATTAGGGTAAAATTTATAAACAAAGTTAACTTACTTTTCCTTGATAATCCAGCTCCAAGATTGTGATTCAAATCAAAGGGATCTAAGAAAATTCATGAGAACAAAAAAGATAATCAAGTAGGAAATGCCACTATTCATACATCGAGGTCTATATAACGAGAAAAAAGTGTTACTTTATTATTAATAAAAGTATTAAATGACTGCCTTTTTAATGAGTTTCAAATCTGTAACATAGCTAAATAACATATATTCCTAAATATAAGGCAAGCTTTTCCCAAAAGTGTCCATCAGAACAGAGGGTGTTGCTTGTTATTTGAATCCTTATAGAGTCCTTCATATTAACAGGGAGTTGCCTTGTTCTGAACAACAAAAAAATGTTTGGAGAAGACACATCAGTCTGATATTACCTAATGATGCTAGTTTTGGAGGCACAGTGACCACAAATACATTTAAAACATTTTAGCACTGAATGTTCCTCCTAACTAACAAGGCTTTCAAAAGAAAATAATTAATCATGGAGATCATAAAGCACTTTTAAAATAAGTTAAAATAAAAGACACATATGCCTGTCCTGCTGGCATGCCAATGGCTACCTGGATCTCATTTCCAGTAAAAGCTTCATATAAGGACTCCCATATGATCTTAAACATCTGCATCTCAAGTGCCTTAGATATACAATTGATGTGTTCTGGAATATTATTTGTTAGATGACCCAGGAAATGGTAGGAATGATGAAAAAAATGCCAATGTCAAAGATATATGAGAGATCTGAATTAACTGGTTCATGAAATAAATGGAGGTAAAATACTACTTCTAAATCAAAATACTATTTTATATTTTGATTTAAAATATTTATGATTTAAAATAAATATACACTCTTAATAAATTAATAATGTAAATATCATGTGTATTTCGTTTCATTATTTCCAACAAATTTCCAACAAACGCCTAAAAACAAATGCAAGAAAGCAAAGGAAAAATAAAACCCAAAATCTTTTTTTGGGATTATCTCATTAAGAAAATGGAGGACTGCATGTATAAAGTATACATAAAAGGAGCAAAGAAGTAAAAAGAGTCATCTTTTTGGTTGTCTGTTATGCTTCTAAGTAGTATACCTGGGGTATACCATCTGGGATTTAGGCTCACTAAGTTTACTGTACTTGTAGGACCTTTCACTCAGTTTAACCCTACACTAATAATTGCTATAAGGTTTACCTTCCTAGTAGGTTTCATTATGTTTTTTTCTGGTGATTGCTATGTCTGTGTGGAGATGTATTTCCAGTTGTCTGCTTGGTGTAGCAGAGATACTGCAATATTAGCCAGTGCAGTTACAAACACCATACATCCCCACCACTGACATTTCTCAGTTCTAAAATAGCTGACTGAAAGTTTTTTTCTAATTTAGCCTATTACCAAGGGCTCATCTGAAAGCAACGTAATGTAAAATATAAAGGTTTACTAAAAGTAATGTGAAAATAAAAAGCAAAAGATAATGAGGCCTTAAAAATTAAAAACAAAATATTAATAATTGGCAGACCCTAAGAACCCACTGTGATAATGGAAAGGGTTAGGATAAAGTTCTATGCTTTTGATGAATGAGATTCTAGAAGTTAAAAGCATGTCTATAACCCACTGAGATCTGAATTTAACTTTGCCAGTGTTCAGTGTTCCAAAGCTCCCAAATGGAAGAGGGAGCAATGAAAGCACAACCTTGCAACCTAAAGCAACATGTACACTTAAGTGATGTGAATGCACTAAAAAAATTAAAGGAGTAAAAAGAGATTAAAATCAAGGAAACATTTCTTAAGCTATTTTTCAGTTCATTTTTAAGCATTTAAACTCCACTTTCTCTTTAAAATTAAAATCCTACAAATTTGAAATAATTAAATACAACATAAATGGTCCATGGATCCTTGCATTCAATGGAAGAAAAGGCTTCAGAATGGGCAAAATGTCAAAATTTAAGTATTATTTACAGGCAAACCCCTCCCTCAATAAGAGCAAATAAGGATCTTGAAAATTCACTTGCTGGCACTCTTCAAATCTTTAATAGGAAGGTATGAGAAAGTCCCACTATTTTGAAGCTGGCTTATCTCTACTGCAACCTTATTTTCCAGTCTGTGTTCAACAAAGGTAAAAGATCTGTCATGATGAACAAAGACTTTTGAGTGTGTGAGAGGCCCCACAGGAGGGCATGGCCATTTAAAAATAAATCTTTACGCTGGAAACAGATAAGCCTGACTGATGTGGACAGTTAACAGGATGGCTGTGTGCACATCCTAACTGCTGGCACACTGCTGCTCTGGAATAACTCTCTTAACGATGAAGAAAGATGCCCTCATAGTTCCAACTCTAGATCCTATTCAATTTTAAGTTAGATTTTATTTGTACCTTCAATAACAATGTATTTGGAGGTCCACTGCTTCTTAAAAGTTGTAAGCAGACTTTTTCTTCTGATGCTAATAACATGCTCTTTGAAATCAAATTCCTCTGTGTAGAAACGAAGCAATCCCAGCCATAGCTGCCCAACAGATTCTGTATTTTTTCCATATTCTGGCCAATAGGTGGGCTAGAAATAGAAGGGAACAATAGATATCATGCTCTATAGTAAACTGTTAATATCAATATTCATATGTATCTTTAGGGAGTAAATTTGGACTTTTTTTAATTAATTAGTTTAAATACATAAAAATATAATTATATAACTTTTCTTTTGTTTTTAAAATACCATTTCCATGAGTTTATTAATCTCTACCCTATGACTTGGAGATAGGGAGAGCTCAGGGTTTTAAATGTCAAACCTCAGAATGCATGTTTGTGGAAGAATCTGGAAATAAACTTTAAAGAGCCTTGGTGTTGCCTGCTTATTAGGTCTCTGTAACTCAAGGAAGTCTTCCCAAACTCCCTACAGAAAATCACAAAGCAAGTATTTGTTCTTTTGGAATAAAGTTACTTTTTGGTATTACTAGGCATTAAAGAAATCCTATACATAATCCCTAGAAACTCACCTGACTTAATGAAAGTGTTTTCAACTTCAAAGGCAACATCTGTATTGCTAGCTTTTTGCTATCATAACAAATAAATAGCAAGTGACACTATAGTTGACCATCTACTCTGTAGCATAGTATAGCTAACTTTATTCAAGGATGTTAAGAAAATCTTTACTCTTAAAATACGTACCAGTTCATCTATTTGATCAAAAAAATAAATATTCCAGCCATCAACAAATATTTCAGGTTTCTTTTCACCTTTGTATATCTGAAATTAATTTTTAAACTATTAGTATGGATTACAAACTTAATGCATTGATACAAAAACTTGAAGGAAAATAGTTAAAAATTTAATTACAGAACCACAGAATTTGAGAGAAGGAAGAGGGCTCAAAGAGCAGAAGGCTTTACAGAAGAGAAACGCAATTTCATGTACTAATACCTCTTGAAGGACAGGAATGACTGGCGGGTTCCTTTGCTGGAGGAAATAGAGCACCATGAGCGTGTATGCATATGATGATAAACTGCCTCTGGATGCATCGCCAATATCACACATCTCGAGAGAAGGGACATGAGGAACAAAAGATCACCAATGTTTTCAATTTAGTTTGCAGTATTCCATTATTGCTAAAAATAATGCTTGTATAGGGCACTAATAAAAAAAGGACACCTTCAAATGCTAACATGTGCCAACAAAACCACACAAGACCAACCAAAAGAATATCCAAAATAAAACAAAAAACACTCCTAACAAAGCAGAACTACCAGCCACAAGCATGACCAGATTACCATGTAAAATTTAAGACAATACAATTGTACATTGCTGAATAGGGCTTCCCAAATAGTTCTAAGAAGCACTTAACATGGCTATAGTCCTTTAAAAATATAGACTTATTTTTTCTACAAGGTTTGAAGATGCAATGAAATTTCCTGATAAACCACAATAGGAAGGACACTCACCTTTGTAAATACTTTCATGGTGTAGCACAAGTATTTCACTCTGGGATCAATGGCTGAATAAGCAGATAAGAGTCTTGTGTTATGAAGAGCCTGTTAAAAGGAAAATTATACTATAAGGCTACCAATTAGAAGACGTTTTAAACTGGAATATTCTGGAAAGGTTTACACTGTAATTCACTTCAGGATAAAGAAATTTAGACTAAAACTAATCTTTCCCCCAAAGACAAGCTTCGTTAACTTACTAGATAATAATTAAGAATTGTTAAGTGACACCTGATTTTATGACTCTCATTTTGTTAATATGTCCTTTGAACAGTACTCCTAGAAAATAAGGGCTATCAAAATGATCAGTTCCCTTTAAGTAGATGTTTAAGATTCCCCCACCCAACCCTGGTGTTATGTCCTTAGGGGCCAGAGAGGTCCCATAAAGCCCTGAAGCAAATCAGGAATGAAATGAAAGACAAGAGGACAGAAACATAGACAGACACAGACACACACACACAAACACACACTTTGACACTAAAACAAAACTCAAACCAAGCTGAAAGCACCTGCCACTATGACCTCATTTCAAACAAATATAGTTGACCCTAGAGTAACACTGGTCTGAACTACATAGGTCCATTTATATGTGGATTTCCCTTAATAAATATATTGGAAAATTTTTGCAACAGTATGAAAAACCATTTTCTTTTCTCCAGCTTACTTTACTGTAAGAATACAGACTATAATACATATAACAATCCAAATATGTATTAATCAACTGTTCATGTTATTGGTAAGGCTTATGGTCAAAAGTAGGCTATCAGTAGTTAAGTTTTTGTGGAGTCAAAAGTAATGGTAACTGCATGGAAGGGTCAGAGTCCCAACCCCCTCGCTGTTCAAGGGTCAACTGTACCAATATTAACTTAATTCTCTGTTATATCCCAGCCTCAGAGCACTGCCAGGAACACAGCAAGCACTCATAAATAACTGAAAGAATGAGTGGCTTAATTTTGAGATTCTGTAAATTTGTTTCCCTTAATCTCCCCAAGGAAAGTGCCTAGAGAGATATATTACCAATGTGTTATACAAACTGATGTCCACTTCCAGACCACTTCTCAAGTGGAAGAACTTGACAATTGGCACCTTTGCTGTTGTTATAGGTAAGATGTTTCTCAGACCTAAGTTGGGAAGTAAGATAGTGTATCAGTAAATACAGCAGCTGAAAACATAAGTTGATCTTACATTAAAATATTTGAACACAAAATGATGTAAACTTAGCTTTAGCTTATTTCACTGTAGTCACTAGGACTAGTCAAAGAATTGTTATTAGCAGACATTTGGGAAGACTTTTCTGCAAAGTTTACATTTGTTAAACACATTAATATTTGAAGTACAAGAATCAACAAGGCAGCCACTACCCCCCAGGAGCTCACCAGATCATATGTGTGCGTGTGTGTGTGTGGTCTGTCAGTCTAATAAACAGCAAAACAGAGGAAACTACTAGAGTATGGACTACATGGGCCCTACCTATTCTCTGCATCTGACTATGTCCAATGTGGAGAAAAGCCTCTGGCACGATCATCTGAATCCTCAGAATAAAAGTTACTCATCACAGAACTAGAATTTGACAGAAGAAAGGAATCAACTTCAATGGGAGAGGAAATTGCCTGAGAAAGGTGCTGAAAAAGGAGAATAGGTAAACACATAGGTAAGCAGCTGAGGGTATTTAGCAGACAAGGAAGACTGCACATGGAAAGGGTAGATGCCTGAAACAGGATGGACAGACACCATGTTCCAAGAACTTCCATGGAATCGTGCAGGCTCTAGAAGGTATGTGAGGGAAATGATAAGAAAAGGGGTAGAAACTGGGAAGAGTCCTAAGAAAGAACATACATATCCTGCTAAGAATTATCTTTAGAGGCAAAGAGAAGCCAATAAACTGGGACAGGCTGGGGCAAATTGGACCACTTCTATTTAGACAATCCTGTGGCAGTTGCTAGATGGGAGCACCTGGAATAAAGGCCAGGTGCCTATCATGAAGTCATCAGGGCCTGAATTACCATGATGGCATGGAGATGGAGAGAAGCAGCAAGAAAGGCGTGAGGGCGTTTACAGCTGGATGGTTGGGGATGTGGAGGTGGCTATAGGGGAGAAGGGAGCTGTGACAGCAAGAGCTACTGTTTCCTGAGTGCTCAGAATCCATCATAAACACTGCCTCCTAAAACTGTTCACACTTACCTAATGGATGAGATGACAGAGACCCAGAGAATTAACTTGCCTAGGAATATGCAGCTGGCAAACTGTGGAGTGCAATTCAAATCTATGTATGACTGACTCTAAACTTCTTTTGAACCTAGTTGAGAACAAGCTGATCATCAATTCACCCATTTTGGTGATTACACAGATGTCAATGTCAACAGGCAAGAAAGCAGACTCAGAAGGGAAGGGCAGGTGGTGGTGGCTGTGGCAGAAGGCAGACAGTAAAGAGAAAGATGAATTCATGCTGAGATGCAGCAGCCTGAGTTTCTTCTGAGAATTAAGTGGTGACACCTAGGAGGCAGATACACAGTGATCCAGAACTCAGGAAAAAAGTATGCACATAGAGTACGTTTTAGCAGAAACCATCTATGTGGGAGACAGAAGAAGTCTAATTTATACTGATGGGGAAGAGGGGCAGGAATTTCATATTTGCTGAATATATAGCACAAGCTATACCCTGTACTTCATTACCATTTTTAACATTAGATGCTATTATTGTTATTCCCACTTGACAGATGAGAAACTGAATACTTACGAGGTCAACTGACTCTCTGGCATCACACAGCCAACAAGTGAGGGGCCAAGATTTAAAACCAGAGAGAGAGTCTGCTTCCAGACTTCCACTGCTTTGCCATACTGCCTCTAAATCAAACAACCTTTTTCTCTCTTTCCCATTCTGGGACTTGACACTTAGAAACTGACAACAATCAAGATGACACAAACCTATCCTCGAGGACTTACTTGCAGCATATCACCCCGATTCTTATTATATCATTCCAACAGCTTCTTTTTCAGTGTCTTTTCTTAATTTCCACCCACAGAAATTAAGGCTGAGTCCTCAAGTTCTCCCAAATGACTCCTTAAAATTGTTTTATTTTTCATGTCTCTCTTCAAGGTTTCCAATGCAAGACTGCTTTCCTTCGTTCTTCCATCCTGACAGCTCTGCACTTCTAGTTGTCCACTGAACTGTCCACTCTTGGAGATAATACTTTCACGACAAACTAAACATCTGCACACAGGTGTTCTCTGCAATTACTTCCATTTCTCAAGTGCCCAGAAAACAGCCTGAACCCCTTTTTCCCACTTGTAGGTACCAAATCTAGGAAATTTCCTTTGGGAATCCCCCATGTCGTTTTTCTTTTGGGACCACTGGTATCTGGTTATGGGCCTTCTGCCCTCTCCCTTAGGTTATATCTTCCCTAAGATACTATACTAGCTGCCTAAAAAGTTTAAGTTTTGCTTTTATGGGGTTCTTCGCCTCCTGAAGAAACTTCAGTCGTTTCCAAATATGTTAGGCTTCACCTTATCTCCTAATAGTTCCTACTCAAAACTCCTTGAAATGTACCAGTCTTCTCACTGTCCTCCAAAACATACTGTAATAACTGTCAGGTTCATGTCCATGCTTTCTTAGGAATAACTTCCTTTTCAAACTGTATTCATCATCTGATGAATCAGAACAAGATGATCAGAACAAGATCATCCCTTCCATGAACCTCCCCTATGTAACTCTTTCCCAGAATCTCTCTCCTCAGAAGTTACTGAATGAACAGTCTCTGATACTACTGTTGACAACATTTTAATAAATGAATACTCTTAGATTATTATATGTCTGTGAAATTATCTTATATTTTTTAATCTGAAAACTGTCAAAGGAAAGACTTGTATTGACTTATTTTATTTGTCTACCCCTAGAAGCCCAATTCAGTGCTGGGAAACTAGTAGGTATCTAATAAAATACCTGGTTTTTAAAGATATTTAGTTTTTTTTTTTTGAGAGGGCATCTCTCATATTTATTGATCATATGGTTATGTTAACAACAATAAAATTCTGCATAGGGGACTCAATGCACAATCATTAATCAACCCCAAGCCTAATTCTCAGCAGTCTCCAATCTTCTGAAGCATAACGAACAAGTTCTTACATGGTGAACGAATTCTTACATAGTGAATAAATTCTTACATGGTGAACAGTACAAGGGCATTCATCACAGAAACTTTCGGTTTTGATCACGCATTATGAACTATAAACAATCAGGTCAAATATGAATATTCGTTTGATTTTTGTACTTGATTTATATGTTGATCCCACATTTCTCCTTTTATTATTATTATTTTTATTTTTAATAAAATGCTGAAGTGGTAGGTAGATGCAAGATAAAGGTAGAAAACATAGTTTAGTGCTGTAAGAAGGCAAATGTAGATGATCAGATGATCAGGTGTGTGCCTATGGACTAAGTATTAATCCAGGCTAGACAAGGGCAGCAAGACATCCACGGATGCAGAAGATTTCTCTCAAAGCAGGGGGGGTGAGGTTCTGAGCCTCACCTCTGTTGATCCCCAAATTCTCACCTGATGGCCCCCCTGCGACTGTGCCTGTCTTAGGTTGTTCCTCCCTTGAGGAATCTTACCCGTCTCTGGCTAACCAGTCATCTTCNATTTTAGTTTCTTTGCATAATCTTCAAAAAAATTAAAACGCACAAGATTTTCAGAAGCAAAATTCTCAAGTGAGGGTAATGACTATTTCAATAACCAAAAAAAAATTATATCTATGCACATTAAAAATAATAGTGATGTTTCAGGTTAACTTTCAGAGGGAATAAATAAAAATTAAGGTTCTTTTTTTTCTTGTTACTTAAATAACATGGTATCTTCTGTATTTAAACTCCTGGAAATAAAAAAAATAAAACAAGGGGGCACTCAAGGTGTACGTTTGTGTGTGTGCATGTCCATGCTATGAATTTAGGTCTACTCTTAACTGAGATATACGAAATCTTTGCAAGAATAGACCATGGATTTTAAAGTTCTATGAGAGCACAGACCATATCTTATTCACTTTCATTCCCAGCTCTTAGCACAGAAATTCACTGAACCGCATTTTAAAAGAAAATTTCCACTGTTAACAGCATCAATAGCTGATCCTGGTGGCAAAACAATCTGTTAATGGCATTTCAGCTCTATGCATTTTAAATCTATAAATACTTGAGAAATACCCAATTCAGTTTACTGAAGAGAGAAAAGAGATCAGGCAAAGTTAAGTAAATAACCTGTTTAGGGTTGCCCACTGCTATAGAGCAGCACAGCTGCAAATATAATCCATAACCCAAGTTCACAGTGCCTCCCCTACTGTGGTTCACATCACCATCAGCAGCCCTGACACTGTCATTTACACTATGTCAGTATGGCAAAATGATTTCCAAGGCTTCGTGCAGTGTAGTATATGCTTTTGTTTTGAAATAAAACTGAGCTGGGCAACATATCCACACAAATTACCACTAATTCCTCAGTCTTTCACACTTAATCACCCATGTTTTTAAGGATGCCAGTATTGCAAAGATGCCGTAAATGAGCCACTAAACTGATTCACTGGCATTAGTGAATTCTAAGAATGTAAAACACTAACAAAAAGAGACAAAATTATTTTTAGGAACACTTTACAGAGGTACCTGAATGTTTTTTGAGGACTCTAGCCAGTTCTTCAATGGTTCTGACACAGTCCAACCCCTGCAACAAAAATGGCACAAACTGCTGTATCAAAAATGGAAGACAGGTTCCTAACCTGGTTATAAATGGTTTCCATTACATTCAGAAATACTGATATTAATTTAATCTCACTCTGTATATATTTTTCCTTTTCAGGCAAGCACTGGTTCATTCATAGGAAATATCTTACAGATATAAAAATCCCCATAGGTGTTATTTATGATTGCTTTTGGAGGTGTAATAAAGGCTGAAATCAAAGCTCCCAGAAAAGTCTCTGAATCATGAGACTTTTTTTTCCCCTCTGTGTAACAGTGTTACTCAGAAGTACCCTACATGCCAGTAAAAGAGAGGGAGCATCGGTCTTCCCTCTTACTCATTCTGGGTAGGCCTTCACTGGAGCTTAATTAAGAGCTGATGGACTGCCATGGAGAATGATTAAATGCAGATTATTTCTCCACAGGACCACCCAAAAATGTAACACACAGATGAAAGTCTTACAGCAAATACGAGTAACATTTCAAATAAATCATATTCAAAAACATTGGACTGACCTTGTTTAACATAAGCCCTTATGATTGTGATACACATCTCAGAACGTAATTGGAATTTTCCTCCAAATCTGGAATTCTATTTCCAAATGAAATTTTAGAAATGCCCTTAAAACTAATTTACAAGTCATGTAAAAATTCAATCTTGATGATGTACAATAAGGTTGTTCCAAATATTGGACCCAATCTTGCTTATTCTCCTTTTCACCAAACTCAGGCTGTTATTCTAAATCAGATACATCCTCAAAAGACAAAGACTTGAAACTAAGAAAAGGCATAAGAAGACTTGAACAGGAGCAGCATCACTCATGTTGGACACACAGCATTTGGACTGTTGTTAAAAATAAGAAAGGAAAAGGGACATAGGACTTCTCTGGCTTTATACCTTTACACAGTATTTTGTATTTTATAAATGCCTTCATATTCATTAGGCGCCAGCAAACCTTTACTGCTTTGCAGACCATATGGCCTATTGCAACTACTCAACTCTGTAGTTAAAGAGTAAGTGCAGCCTAGACAATACATAAATGATGGGTGTGGCTGAGTTGCAATGAAACTGTATTTACAAAACAGGCAGTCAGCTAGAGTTAGCCCTTGGACCACAGTTTGCTGACTCCTTATGTAGCTGATTATGTACAGAAGTCTCCTGAGGCAAGAAGAACAGAAATTAGCATTTCCATTTTACAGATTATCAACCAAAGACCACATGTTTAGGAATTTGTGAAACCAAGTTTGTCTTGAACCCTGGTCTCTGGAATGTAAATTTACTGCTCTTATCATTGCACTGCATTGCCTGCCTTCAAAAAACCTTTAAAAAATCTGTATGTGCATCAAAGTCAGCCTAGTGGCCATGCCAATGGGACATTGAAGAGTCTCATTTGGCTTTGCAGAATTTCCACATGTTGCTCTCAAGTCCTCTTGGTACTATGGGTTGAAAATATGTGCCTTGGTACTCCTCATTCACCTTCACACTTCTTAATGTATTTGGCCAGAGAGACTGTGCCAAATGGCATACTCCTTTGGTATACCCTGATAAATCTGGAAAATACCAAGCTGTCCTGTCAGTCAATACTGTCAAATCACACTGCCACAGCAAATTCAAGTTTTATGTGATCACTGTACCTCAGCAGTTTCAAGTCCATTTATTGTCATACAGATGTCAAGGTCACTCTGTTTGAACCCAAATCCATTTTTGGAGGAGCCAAACAAGCTCAGTTTAGTTCCTGTTAGGGATATATGAAAAGTAGTACTTCATTACCTGAGTACATTTAATTTTCTGATCAAAATGGCCCTCTCAGGAATAAAAAATACCCAGTTCTTAACTATCTGTATTAATCTCCTTATAATTACGTTCTCTTACCAACCAGCCATTTATTATAAATTATTTTCTCTCAAAATTTACTTTAAATAAATATAATCTGTACATGGCATGAAAGATTACTGGGTGCCACTCTATTCTTAAGTGAAAGGACATTTCAAGAAAAATGTGGGTCATCTCAACATATTTAATATTGTAAGCTTACTACTATTATAAGTTTTTTTTGAGGTGTGAATTTGACTTCAAGTATAATACTAAATGAAATTCACTTACAGTACCTGCTAAGAGAAACCCTACACTGCCACTCCCTTCTCTTTTGATAAGCTAGGATTGGACAGAGGGAAGGCCATCCTAGGTGAGCTAGAAAGCACTGCAGCCCTGCCCCCACCATTACCGTGAGATTACTTTCTTATTACCAAAGTGAATGTGCTTGTGTGACACAGGTCCTCCTTCTAAAGGAAGGTCATGCTACCCTTCTTTTCTTTAAGGTTAAAAATTATTTACCTGGAAACTCCTGTCTTATAAAACTTTCCAGGTTTTGCCGAATATGTTCACGTGCCTGATCTTCTAAAACAGTTGGTGAAAAATCCTCTGTTTGAAATAGAAACATTCAGAAATAAAGATTGGTCACATTCTCTGAAAGAAATTTATATAGGTATTTTTAAATAAAACCTAGCAAGTTAAGAAAAAACAAACCTAAATTGCATGTGTCTTCTTGGTAAGCAATAATGTAAAATAGAGGATGCCTTTTTTTAAAGGAGAGTCTCTCTAACCAAGAAACTGCCTGAAATGTAAATCCATCTAAACTGGGGTTCTGCTCCTGAATTTCACAGAGACCCCAGGAGTCTATGAAGGTGGTCTTTACGGAATTACCCCAAAGTGTCAACACAAAAATTTGACCCATAATTTCCTTTTATAGCTTATAAACTCCAAAAAAGGGTTTAAAAAAAAGAAAGAAACCAGGATTTTATGATGCAGCAAAGCAATGCATTAGGTCCTGCCCTTAGCAGCTGCATGCCCCTCCTTTGGATGTTTTTTCTTTGTACAACTTTAAACCTCTGTATCCCAATGCTTCCCCAAACCTGTGTTCCTTAAAGGGCTATTATGAAGGCTAATAATCAGCACTAATTTAAAAGGATTCCATGCTCAAATTTTGGAAATGTTGGATTAAAGAGTTAAGTAGGTTCTTTATCATAACATTTCTCAGAAGCCATTATTAGGTTAATGTACCCTTCAAATCTCTAAAGGGAAGAGGGGCACTGGGAGTTTATTCCCCACTTGACTTGTGGAATACTTAGTCACAAAATACTAGTAACTGTCCTAGAAAAACATTTCAAGGACACCAGTTGGGAAATGCTAGTACTCTGATCTTTAGATGTAAAAGATCCTCCCTCCTTCCTGTCTTTCTTTAACAAGTATTTATTATGTGTCTCAACCAGAACAAGCACTGCACAGAACATTATGGATATGTCAGAGAATGGATCAGACTTAGTCCCAATAATGGAGCTAACAGGTTTGTGATTCAGATGGCTTTTTTTCTTTTTTTTTTTCAACTGAAACAACAATTTAATGTTTCCTCAGATGACTCTTGAGAAAATGTCAATGCAATATATTGACAAATAAGAAAAAATGTTAACGACTTACTGTAACACTGGATACAAACTTGATCTAAGATATCTGAAAACTTGGGTGTCAGTGGCGGCAAAGGTTCCAGCTGGATTCTTTTGAAGTCTTCGGGGCAGTCCTTCTTTAGATGCCCCTCTCGTTTGCATAAACTGCACACTACCATAGGAGACTGTAGGAAGACAGCAAAGCAAAACAGGACTTAAGATAAAGCTTTGTTGGCCAAATAAAGAGGTCCTGAATCTTTTTTTAAAAGTTCACTTTCCAAAGCAATGGAAATACGGTGTGCAGCCACTCCATTCTGAGTTAGGACACCCTACTATACACTCAGGAGGAAAGGCAGGTATTTCCACTACCCATAGCACTCCCTTTCTCCTATGCAAATTCTCATGAGTCCAGGGAGGGAAGTAGACTACATGGTTGTACTGGAGTGAAAGACCAGCTCCATAAAGACTACCAAAACAGGGAAGAGCCCTGTTTAGTATATAAAAATTGAAACTGTATGCATTGAAACTGTTTAAAGTCTCTTTATATTTAGGAGTGGCAGTGATTATTACCTTGCCTTTGGTGAAGGTGAGTTTACTAAATTCATAGAAAAAAACAGACTGATCCACAGCTGAGGTTTCCTCACATACATTTTCTTCTTTAAGACTGATTTTATTAAGTTCCATTAGTAGAGCTGCATCCACATGTTTTTCACTTTCTTTCAAGTCTTCATATATAGCAGACACGCCTAATTCTTCCTCCTCTTCAGACAGGGCATCTTCGTCCCCTGACCCGGTGCAGATGTTATCTAACTCATCCTCATTACTGATGCCATCTTCATCTTCCCTCTGGATAATGGTGAATCTGGGTTCTTCCTCCTCCTCTTCCTCTTCCTCCTCCTCCTCCTCCTCTTCATCAGAGTGAAGAATTCCTGATGTGTGGCCCTGTCTTGAAGGGGCAGAGAGGCTTAGAGCATCTTTGAATTCATCAGCACCTTCTATGCTTTCTACATCAACATCGGCCTTGTCATCTGAAGTAGCAAATCCATCACACTCTTTAGCTGTAGGATTTTGGAAGCCTTCTAAATCCAAAGTGCTGTCTGTCTTGTTATTTCGTGTGCTGTCACAGATGACAAGCTCCCCATGTTTGCTACTGCTTAGACCTTGATCACGAGCAGCCAAAGGATGCCTGCACTCCCTTCCTATTTTTTCTTTCCCATTTTTGCTTCCTGTTTCTTGATGGTGTACTTTAATGTCCTCATAATCAACACAATGGACCCCTGTCTTGATATTGTCTGAATTTTTCAGGTGGACACTGATGTGGGCATTTCCCGTTTCTTCCACTGGTGGGCTTCCAAGGCTTTCTGCAGTCTCTTTGAGAGAGGGTGGTTGGACCCTGCAGGTGTTTGCAGTTGAGTTGGCAGCACTGGGCCTTTGAGCCAAAACTGAGTTTTTGAGTTTATCATCTTTCACTCGTACTTCTAGGTCATGCTTTGCTACTTCTTTAGAATGTTCGGACATACACGTAGCAGTACTTGGAGGCTTTGGAAGGCTGGATTTTGTAATCTTGTGTGGAACAGCAAAGTATTTATATGTTGTCCTTAAACAGTGAAGTATATATTCAAACACGGGTTGATTATTTAGAGTCCTTGCCACGTTTCTTTTAACAGAGTAGGGATCTGTAACAATAATAAAAATCCACCACTTAATACATTCCTATTTCATATTTTAAAAATTAGTCTGCTGTTAGATAAAAATAGACAACAAATAAAAACCAGTAAAATTTATCATGAATCTTACATGCTTTTAAAAATTGGGGATGGGGAGTAAGAAGATAGAATTTAAGGAAAAAAAGAAATGTTTTCTTAAACACCTGCTCTATGAAGAGAACCCATTCTGTTCAGAACCAGTACCCCTTCCCTACTTTGTTCTGTGACTGTGGAGGTAAAAAAAGTCATCAGCGTGGCTCTTGTGCCCTGGGGAAGTGAGGTCTTCCCACCAGGCTCTGCTGAGTGCTCTGCCTCCCCACTCAGCCAGGTCCTGGGGTTTGTAGAGCTTACCTCCACTCTTCTGCCCTGGGAAGCCCCATCACTGAACTGGCTGGACTGAATTCAGGGGCGAGAGGGAGGCACCAGTAGGAGACACCACTTCTCTCAATCTTTTCTCCTCCCCTAGAACTCCAGCAGGTTAGGCAATTGGCCAGAAGAGCTGAGCCAGAGAAACTGCAGGGGAGGGTTTAAAGATGTGAGATCCCCATGACTGCACACAGAATTTATGCAAAATCCAAAAAACCCTCTTATGCAATATAAAGCTTGAAAAAAAATCAAGCAAAAATAGGAGAATTCCATTAAGGAGGTTCTTTAAATTATCTGAAGGAGGAGAATTAAGATTTCTAGAGGGGTTTCAACATCCTGATTTCGCAAAGCTTAGAAAGAACTAGTCCATTGAATGAGGTCTACAGAGCACATCAGTGTATCTTTTATACAATGGTTTCAGTTAAATGAGTCTTTGCTAGAAAAAGTGTTTTTATTAATTAAGTTCTAAATGTTACTGCAGATATTCAAAAAGTAACTATCCTTTCTCTATGGAGTGGAATCCAAAGAAGATTGTGTTTTTCACAAGAAAAAGTGCTTTCTCATTTCTGTAATGCTAGACAACATCAACAAAAATCCATGGGAGGACTAAATCTAAAAATCCACACATGGGAACAGTAAATAGGAAAAGGGAAAAATCACACATCACTGGGAAAAAACTTAAGTGTTTATGTCATTAAGGAATTTACAGAGAAAGCAAGGACTCAGCCAGCCATTATTTTAGTTACTCAAGTAGTTAAGATGTTTTATTGCAGCATTTAAGAAACCCAGGGTCAACAGTTTGGTTCCTTGGAATGACCCACTATAACACATGCAAGACTCTATTATATATTACTACACTTTTGGGGGCAGGCCTACCTTACATGTAGGAGCTGAAAAGAGATGGAAATAAAAAGCATGCTGTTAGATTGTTACCTTAAAAGAAGGGAATTAAAGATAAACATTTTGAGATTACCTTCAATGGCAATGCGCTTCTTGGGCCAATCCTTTGATTCACGTGATACCAATTCTTTGACACGGATACTTATCACTAAATCAGCCAAATTAAATTCTAAAGCATAGAATCGAAGCAATTCCACCCAGAGCTGCCCAACTGGTACTTCAGGCTGGTGTTTTAAGTCAAATGTTAATGATACCTATTAAAAGCAAAGAGAAAACACATAGGAGCTATTAGATGTCAGCACAATCTGGAAATCTAGAGATCATTCAAGCATCAAATTAAAAAAAAAATCTGAAAAACTTCAGCAAAGACATGAATGATAATCCATCTAGGTAAATCACATTCTAGGTTCTATTTTGCTTGTGGGAAAATAGCATTCCTTCAGTGCACTTCTGGGATTAGAGGATGTTAGAATCGAATCACTACCAGAGGAATAGACAAGCAGTTTTATGTAGCCAGGCAGCACTCCTACTCTGAAATTTTAGTGACAGGTGGGGAGAGCTGTGCTCGGATGGCTAGTACTCAGCACTGAGCTCTCCCCCTGTACTGCCGCTGTAGGGCACCTCTACAGCTACACACCCAGAAATGGGCGGCAGCTAAAGGTGTAGAGCAAAAGGCAAAACACCCCTCTCATTTGCTCTGACAAACTACAAAAGTTCACTGTATCTGCCAGCGGCAATTGATTTTAAAGTCTAAAGTCAAATAACACTTGGTATCAGAAATTGATACTAGTTTTACATTCTGAGATTCTTGACAAACTGGAACATACTATGATGTAACAATACATTAGAAAGTGCACAGGACTTAGAATAGGAAAAAAATGGGTCTAAATACTGATTCTGCTACTTCATAGCTCTTAACTGCTCTAGGATTCAACTTCTTCCTATCAGCTGGCAGTACAGCACAGTGGCTAAGAGAACTGGCTCTGGAATGGGACACTTGAGGTCTGAAACCCAACTCTGCCATGTACTAGCTGTGTATGATTCTGGTCAAGCTCTAGAAGCTGTCTAAGCCTCAGTTTCCTCATCTGAACAATGGGGATCACAGTACCCACCTCATAGGGTTGTTGGGAGGATTGAGTGAGAGAGTGTCTGTAAAGAGCTTAGCACAGTGCCTGCACACATGTTCAAAAAATGGTCGCTACCATTATCTGCAGAGTAGGGATGATATCACCTATAACACAGGATAGTTATGAGGATTAAGTCAGGAACATGGGAAAGCATCTGTATTGGTTGCTTTCTGTATTTTTTCACTTAGGTACAGTCTTTTAAGTACAAGAAATCAATTTATCATTGAAACATAATGTCACAACTGTATAAGATGCTCTTAAAAGGTAATCTAGTTCAACTCCCAAATGTTAAAAGAGAAGGAACTGAAGCCCAGAGAGTTCATATGACTTGTCAAAGGTCCCACTGCTTGCCAGCGGCAGAATGAGAACAATGTCTTCCAACCCCAGTACAGTGTTCTTTCACCAAACCACGTAATTTCCACACTGTCTGTATCTCAATTTCAGAAGTGGTAGCATGAGTAGTCTCTCCAAATAGCACAAAAATGTGAAGATAGAGTATTTAATTGCACTTACAGCAACAGCTTTTCCTTTTAAGGTATATAAATTTGTTTCCAATCACACTTTACTATGGTATTTTATGAACCAGTAAAATATCAACCACAAAGGTTCTGTCTGTCTATTAAAATTAAATCATTGGGTGGACTGACAAAGCAGAGCTAATTGAAAATGGAAGTTGTCTAGGTCCCAAACACTACAGTTGAGGACACAAAGAAAACCACCAGAAATTAAAAGTCTCACTAAATTTCACCTTTATCCATAAGCCTTACTCAGTATCACTAAGGATTTTTAAGCATCTCACTGAAATGAGTCGGTAATACTGCAATATGGAGTTTAAGAGACCTTCCAAGACTAGTAGTACTTAAGTTGTTTTTCTTTTACTGTCTTTGTTTCTTAAAGTACAGAATACATTTTTTCTCAAAATAAGAGTAGCAGCTAACATTTACTGAGTGCTTACCACATGCTTGGCACTGAGTTAAGCATTCTGTGAATCAATGACCCTAGGAGAGGGTACCAATGTCATCTCCATTTATAGGTGAGGAAACTGGGGCACAGAAAGAGTAAGTCACTTGCTCAAGGACACACAGCCAGGAAGAGGAAGAGCTGGGATACAGAGTCACATATTCTGGCTCCACAGCCTATGCCCTTATCCACTCCTGGAACCCCAAGTGGAAAACAGATAAACATGGTGTTGGTGGCAACAGGGGGAGCCTGGTCGCACCTCTACCCTTCCCGCCCTGTGCTCAAGGATTCTAGAAAACACAACTGGAGAATCTACAACTCACCACTACCTCCTCACTTTAGGCATGGACTAGGGGAGTGACTTGTTTGTATAAAGCTGGCATAAAATCCTCGTCTCAGAAGTACTTTGTGGACAATCCTGTCATTTCATCAAAGGGTTATGGGGAAGAATGCGGGGTCAGAAACTATTCACCTATTTGGGGCAGAACCCTACTCCTATTACTAGTTACATTGCTTGGACTTTTGTTTGAGATTCAAATGGCAATTCTCTCCTTGTGCATACATTTCCCTGTCCACCCCTAATGGTATGAGTGAGGACAAGTACATTAAACTATATACCCATTCACAGTTATTTCAGTCATGAAGTTAGTTAACCTTTAATATATTTAAAACTCGTACCATCTAAGACCTAAGCTCCTTGAAGGTAGACAAAGGATTTATCTGAGTTCTTATTATCTTTCACAGGACCCTGCTCACAAAAAAAACTATATAAATAACTGTGGATTTAGAGATCTGAACTGTAAGTTTTTTCATTACTTGTCTAATCAAAGGACTGAAAAGACCAGGAAATGAAACATCCATGAAATAGGTAAGATAGCTGAGGAAAGAAGAGAGGAAGACTGATTAACTCATGAACTCCACAATTAACAACTGAATTTAAAATACACAGTAAAATTAGGAATGAGAGAACAGACCTGTCCCCTTCTAATGGGCATTTTTTTTGGTGTCTCTCCCTCTGCCGTGTTTGCACCCACTGCGGCACTCTCAGTATACTCCCAGACCACAGCGTCTTTCTGAATGTCTTTGAGGTTGAAGTTCCCTAGTTTGTTTAATGAGAATCCTTCAATCTAGGAAAAATTAAGACACACATACTGTTTGTTACAAGGTAGAAACAATTTTGTATCAGAGCATATTAATCCTGGAAGAAATGAAAAGATCAAATACTTAAAGTACACTGAAAACATACAAAGTATTATTTATATAATACCTCTTGAGAAAGCTGTAAATTTAAAAATATTCTTCAAGGTAAAAAACAGGGTTTTGGTGTTACAAAAGAAAAGAGTTCTTGAGTTTGTGAAATAATTCTTCAGTCAATAGTCTAAGAGAAGGTAACATGGCCGAGGCCTAAGGCCATGGCATCTGGAGTAAAACTGCCTGGGCCCAAATCTTGACTCCCTCATGTGAGGGCTAGCTGTGAGGCCTTCAGTAAGCTGCTCACTTTCTTTAGGTCTCAGGTTCCTGTGAGGAGAGGTAACACTAGAACCTTCTTCACGGGGAGAGCTGTGACATGTAATAAGACACAGAGCACTCATACAGAGTATGGCATGCAGCAAATATCCAATAAATGCAAGAAATTGCTTCTGTTCATACTATTGAGATGCAAATTGCTCAAGACAGGCTAGACTCAAAAGGCCAAAGAAATGTGAGTTCTGTCTTTATTGGATGTTGGCATTTATTACTGCCTTTAAACAGGTGCATGTTTAAAGGTGATGTACATGAAGAATTGTGGGTGGGTGTGGATACGGTATTCCATCTTCCTGAATGTATTTCCACATCAAATAAACTACTTCTTTGGTTCAGCAGACAGAATGATCCTTCTAAAACACAACACCTTGTCTACCCACTCACCATGGTTCCCTTACTTGGGATGAAATTCACAAGCCTTTCCAGGGCCTAGAAAGAACCTTAAGAAATCTGGCTGTTCTTTGACTCATCTTTGGTATCATCCTGGCTCAGAGCTGACCTCTGCTGTTCCCTGTTGGGAAGGCTCTCCCCGCTAACAGAGCCCATCTCCCTCACTATAGTCAGGCTTTGCTCAAATCTTTCTCTAAATAGCTCCTCCCCTTTGACTTTCAGTCTTTCTTGCTTTGGTTTGTTTTTCATCAGAGACATTACTGCCACTTGATAAGTACTTCTCACTCTACTGAATATACAAACATGAGGAAAAGATTTTGTTCACTGTTCTAACTCTAGCATCCAGAATAGTGGCTGGCACAAGATAAATGCTCAATAAGGATTTGCTCACTGACTGAATAAACCACTATCCTATAGAAAACATTCTGGAAAATACCAGGTTAGATGTATGTATTTACTATTTGCTTCAATTCTGAGGCTTGTGTTTTTTTTCCTCTTAACATTTATGGTTTTTGAAGAATAAAAGTTTTAAAGTTTGGCAAAGTTAAATTTCTCAATATTTTTCTCTATTGATATAGTTTATGCTTTTAATGTTCTTACCTACTCATAGCCTGCAAAGATTTTTTCCTAGGTTTTCGTCTGGTAATTTCATGATTTTAACTTTTACATTTAAGTTTTTATCTATCAGAATTAATTTGGGGGTATGTAGTAAGGTAAAAGTTTGATGTTCATTATTTTTTGTATGGACATCTAGTTTTTCCAACATCAACTGCTGAAAAGACTTTCCCCCAATGAAATCCTGTTGAAAACCAAATGACCATCATACATGATGACAATATCAATGATTCCAATCCATGGACTTTGGTATGCCTCTACATTTACTTATGTTCTTATTTAATGTTTTCAGCAATATTCTAGCTTTCAGTTTGGAGGTCTTGCGAGTCTTTTGTTAATTTTATTTTTAAATACTGTTATGTTTTCAAGCACTATTATGAATTGAATTTTTTTAAACTTATACTGCTAATTATCAAAGTACAATCGTTTTTTGTCTATTTTTTGTATTCTATGATCTTACTAAATTTAGTTGTTAGTTCTAGGACTTGTTTAGTAGTTTTCTGAGGATTTTCCATATAACCATGTGACCTGAGAAGAGAAACTTTCTACTCCTTCCTGATTTTTATACCTTTTTCTTTTCTTTCCTTATTATAATGGCTAGAACTTCCTGTAAATATTGAATAGTAATAGTGGACATAGTTTTTGTCCCCAGTGGTACAGGGAAAATGTCCAGGATACCAATATTAAGTACAACGTTAACTGTATATGTTTTTTACAGACATCCATTTTCACGCTGAGCAGTTCCCTTCTGCTCCTAGTTTGCAGGTGTTTGAATTTTATTTTTTTCTTTCCTACATTTATTGATATCATTTTTATCCCTTTAATTGTTAAAATGGTGAATTATATTGCCTTTCAAGTGCTATATCAACCTTATATTCCTGGAAGAAGCCCTACTTGGTTGTGAATATATTCCTTTTGTGTATTTCTGAGTTATTTGCTAAGATTTTACTAAGGATTTCAGTGTCCATGCTCATGAGGGTTTCTGGGGTATAGCTTTTTCTTTGTCTGCTTTTGGTATCAGGGTAATGCTGACCTCTTATTTCTTCTCTTCTGCTTTCTGAAAGATTTGTGTAGCTGGCATTATTTCTTCCTTAAATGTTTGACAGAATTCACCAGTAAGGCCATTTGGGCCTGGAATTTTCTTCATAGGAAGGTTTTTAATTACAAATTCAATTTCTTCAGTGGATAAAGGCTCCTCAGGTTATTTTTTCCTGAATGCTCTTTTTGTATTTAGTCTTACAAGGATTATGTCCATTTTACCTAGGTTTTCTCATTTATTGGTAGGAAAGTTGTTTGTAATATTCTTTTTTATCCACTTACGTCTGTAAGTCTCTTTTCATTCATGATTTTGTGTTCTCTCTTCTTAATGAGTCTATCAGGGGATTATCAATATTGTTGATAAAAGAATTAATTTGGTTTTGTTAATTTTCTTTACTATTAGTCTATTTGCTACTTACTGAATTTGCTCCTCTTGTTTTCTTTATTCAACTTACTTTGGATTTATGTTGCTCTTTTATATCTAGCTTCTTGTGGTGCAAATTTAAGTCACTGATTTTGGATCTTTCTTTCTAAATTTAAGCATTGAAATCCATAAATTTTCTTGTGAACATTATTTTAGCTGCATCCCAAAAAGTTTGATGTCTTATATATATATATATGTATTTTTTTGAGAGGGCATCTCTCATATTTATTGATCAAATGGTTGTTAACAACAATAAAATTCTGTATAGGGGACTCAATGCACAATCATTAATCAACCCCAAGCCTAATTCTCAACAGTCTCCAATCTTCTGAAGCATAACGAACAAGTTCTTACATGGTGAACAAATTCTTACATAGTGAATAAGTTCTTACATGGTGAACAGTGCAAGGGCAGTCAT